CATTCCCTTTTGCTATCTGTGAATGATTATCCATAGCAGTGTTTATTTCTAAGCCTTTTTTGGAAAGTTCGATCGCTTTTTCGTATTTACGTGAATTAAGATAGGCCTCACATAAAATATTAATAACTGCATTTTCTGACTGGCTTCCCTTGATAGAGTTAATCTCTAAATATTGCTCAAAATGATAAATGGCATTTTCATTCTCCCCTAAGGAGAAATATGAGATACCTAATTCCTTGTGATTTATAGCAATTGTGCTGCGATTATGAAGGGTAATACTTTCTTCTAAGCCCCTTTTGGAATAATCAAGACCATTCTTAATTTCGCCCATTAATCTATGACTAATGCCCAGGTTTATGCAGTTATTCACTATTCCTGGTTGGTCTCCAGTGGCAGTGCATGTCTCCAAAGCTAATTTATAGCAGTTAATAGCTTCTTCATATTGGCCTAACTCAAAATAAGCACGGCCTAAATCCTCATTGCTGCGTGCTACTATTATCTGATCGCGGCTAAGTGATATATTTCTCTTCAAGCAGTCAATAGCTTTTGTATATTCTTTTAATTCAATATGACCCTTGCCCTTTTTTCTCTGCATAATTGCAGCGAGTTCTGAATAATTCTCAATCTCATTGCAACTTTTAACGCCTATTTCAAAATACTCAATTGCTTTCTTATACTCACCTAAATGCAAATAAGTATCCCCTAGGGAATTTGCGCTATCAGCTATTTCTGGATGGTTGCCACTTTTGGTGGCTTTTTCGAAATGTTTTTTGTGATAGTCAATGTCTATCTTAAATGCCATTCCAAAAATTATACCTTCCCAAGTTTTTCTTGCTTTTCTCAGGCTAAAATGTAGAGTAGGATTTAAATTAGAGCTTTACATAAGAACGAAAAACACACAAACCAATAGCTTGGAAACGAGGCGGGCAATTTTATCTACTGTTAATGATGGGCTGGTTTTCATTCCTGGAGAACAAAATAATTCGGAATGTGTGTATTTTTAAAAAATGTTTTCTATCGTCCTTTGCAGACAGTGCAGGAATCAAATGTGCAAATATGGGAATCTATTTCACGGCATGTCCACGCGATCGGAATTTCTTGGTCTTTAATTTTAAAACTATGCCAGATCAAACTGGCTTTACTCTATACATGCGCTGTTGTATCGCCTCGCGATTATCGCGTGGATGCATGCCATCATGTTTGCAAGGCGTTCGATTGAAAAATATAGCTGATGTCAAAAACTTTAAACTTGATAAAATGCTCGCAGTCAATGGATTCTAATCATTCATTTCAAATCAAAAGCCGACGGTATATATATATATATATATATATATATATATATATATATATATATATATATATATATATATATATATATAAGCGGAAAAACAAAAAATCTCAATAACATTTGTGCCAACGTATATAGTTACGTAACACCTATACTTCTCACGTGATGCATGAATATTCCCACGCCATTTTGTTTCGTTTTTAAGGTTTGGCTGGTTTGCTGTATCTTGATGAATTGTTCCTGACTGTTGTCTTAATTTTTGACAAAGCAGTGCCTGTAACTGCCGTGAAATACTCATAAGAATTTCGAATTTCGATACGCGGCTATATGAATTTGTGTATTGTGGAATGCTTCAGTGGTTGGTTGGAATTAAATCTCTAGAAATTTCGATAACTTTAGTGTAGATAACAACATGCTGTGTTTATGTCGGTCGTAGCTATTTTATTAAACCGCAATGCTTTATAACTACATGAAAAACACGGTATAATTCCGCATTTTCAGATCGCCTACTGGGAACTGAATTGGTGGTATAAACTATAAAAGGTTTCAAAAAAGGGCCATTATTTAAAATTCAAATTTATCTATTCTATTGAATTTATCTATATGAAAAACACCCACACGAAAAGAACTAAAGATCTAATATAATAGAGCTAAACTCAAGATATGAGCTATAAAATTACATGCAAGACAACCGCAATTTTGTTGTGATATTTCGACTCTATTCCAAAACCGTTTTATAATAACTTTAATAAACTATTAAAAAACTTGCTATCATACCATGCATGTACAAAAATAATGACCATGTTTATTGCTATCTGCATTGGCAGGTTCCACTGTAATCCAGAAATGTGTAAATGAATTGTTTTTTCGCGAAAAGTGGAATAAAGAATTATCAGCTTTATGAGTGCGCAAACACCTGCTAACTCTATACGAGAGGCATTTTTCCTCGCTCCATAGAATGGAATTTAAGGCGACGCCAAGCTGTGAGCAGCCATATACTAACATGGTTGTTTATCTCAATCAATAAAGTCGACCATTTTATTACCGCACTTAACTATACGAATATAATAATAGTTAAAACTATGATGTCTATATATATGATGATGTCTTAACTTTCCAATAAAGTGATCGAAATATTGAAGTATAAAGTCAAACGCATGGTTTCACTTTTTCGCTCATCTTAAAAACGAAACGTATAAGAACTAACGTTATCTAACATAACTTTGAGCGGCCGATAAGATACAAGGAAATTGAGTTAATATATGAATTCTTACCGTGATCATACAATTTCATACATTTTAGGTTTAGCCCAAGTTTAACTTGAAATTTCATTCAATTTAGTCTTCTTACGGCAGCCATATACACAGGTATAAACATAACTTCTTCACATTTATACATACCTATATGCATGCTAAGTGCATATATATAATAATAGAATTGTCTATTTAAATGAGACTGAAGATAAGTAATTATTTTTAATTAGAGATGCTCACGGCAGGACGTCGCATGCCTGATTCTACATACCCTTCTATATATATTAGCCGAATTCACGACAGAAAAAGGTAAACTCGTTTTGGGCAGGAAAGTTGATTGTGAAAACGGATGAGGTTTTTACAGCCTCAGTTATTAGCAATATCGAACGCAACAAAGATGCACGACGTGTGTGGTATATAAAGAGAATGCATGGTTTGATATGTGGAATTTAAAGCCATATCTTGCTGAGCAGGATCCAAGATCTGTAATTGTTTGTTTATCATATCAGAAATACCTGCACGCAAAATTCACTCGCCTACTCGAAGTAGTCACCACATATAAGGTGTTTCAAAAAAGTACCCCCTATCTAAATAAAGTTTTTGTTGGAATTTGAATGCATGATCGACGTAGTAGTGTGTAAATAACATATAGTACTAGTTATTACGTTGACTCACCAAATAAAGCGTCTTGCTTTCAATTGCATGGGTTTATCATAATATTAAGGCAATCAGATTCTAACAAAGGCTTGATTAAATTCAATGAAATAGCCGATTCCCTTTTCGTTTCCAGCTCGAAAGATTTCGGGACTTAACACCTTAGGCCGAGGCAATTCCACACAAAATTCCAGACTGCGTAGCTGCTACAACTTTGAAGTATAATATCCAATACTAAAGATCTAATCTGACAAAGCTAAACTCAAGATATGAGGTATAAAATTACATGCAAGACACCAATTTTGTTGTGATATTTTGACTCTATTCCAAAGCTGTTGTATATATGTAACTTGAATAGACTATTAAAATTTGCTACCATACCATGCATGCATGTACAAAAATAATGACCATGTTTATAGCTATCTGCATTGGCAGGTTATGCCACTGTAATCCAGAAATATGTGAATGAATTATTTGTCGCGAAAAGTGAAATAAAGAGTTATTAGCTTTATGAGTGCGCAAAAAACTACTAACTTTACGAGAGGCATTTTTCCTCCATAGAATGGAATTTAATGCGACGCCCAGCCGTGCATGAGCAGCCATATACTAACATGGTTCTTTATCTCAATCAATAAAATCGACCATTTTATCACAGCACTTAGCTATACGAATATATAGTTTAAAAATGATGTCTATATATATGATGATGTCTTAACTTTCCAATAAAGTGATCGAAATATTCAAATTATAAAGTCAAACGCATGGTTTCACTTTTTCGCTCATCTTAAAAACGAAACGTATAAGAACTAACGTTATCTAACATAACCTTGACTGGCCGATAAGATACAAGGAAATTGAGTTAATATATGAATTCTTACCGTGATCATACAATTTCATACATGTATAGGTTTAGCCCAAGTTTAACTTGAAATGTCATTCAATTTAATCTTCTTACGGCAGCCATATACACAGGTATAAACATAACTTCTTCACATTTATACATACCTATATGCATGCTAAGTGCATATATATAATAATAAAATTGTCCATTATATTTGAATGAGACTGAAGATAAGTAATTATTTTTAATTAGAGATGCTCACGGCAGGACGTCGCATGCCTGATTCTATATACCCTTCTATATCAGCCGAATTCACGACAGAAAAAGGTAAACTCGTTTTGGGCAGGAAAGTTGATTGTGAAGACGGATGAGGTTTTTATAGCCCCAGTTATAAGCAATATTGAATGCAACAAAGATGCACGACGTATGTGGTCTATAAAGAGAATGCATAGTTTGATAGGTGGAATTTAAAGCGATGTCTTGCTGAGCAGGATCCAAGATCTGTTTGTTTATCATACTGTCGTGGACAAATTTAATGTACACCATTACAGTCAAATATGTTGAATTTAATATTTCGTCTCTTAGATGAACCATCGAGTATGTTTTCACATCGAAAATATAACAAAATTTAATAAATTCACCCCTTTGTCGCCATGTTCCAAAAAACAACAAAATTTACAAAATTTACATTTTTCGCAAAGCATGACGGTATTTTTGAACCAAAGTTTCTCAATTTTTAAAAAATCTCTTAATTTAACCGCAAACAAACGAGTGGGCCTAATTTAGGTAAAAATATATGCAAACAATTCCTACATCCGCTTGAATAATTTGACTTTGAGAATATGGAATGAATAATTCAATAACTCAAACATCATCTCCTTCGGTCATTCGGTGGTATTATTTAAACTTAGCGTCGCGTACACACGACTAATAACATCGTATTTTGTGATAGTAATTTGCTACAAATATATATTATTACAATTATGTATCATTGAATGAGGATCAGGGCAACCTGCAAAGTAAAAGGACACGAGGTTTGTCATTTATGCAATATATATCCGCATGAGTTGGTGAATATAATATAGAATATACATGATCTATTATTTCATGTATTTTATCTACAAATTACAAAACGATTATGGCATATATGCCTAAGTTGATGTACCACATTTAGTGCGAAGTTGCTTGCCACAATTCGATAATTTACGCGTTAATTTCTCTGCTTAAGATCTTAACTTGTCTGTATTTGAACCGAAGCGAGTATTTGCCAAACAATTTGACCGATATTCAAATTTGTCGAAGTTTGAATGTTAAAATGTTTCCCTGATGACTTACATCTCACACAGCCATATCATGCACAGGAAACTACAAACAGTTTAAACATATAAACTGCAAACAGTTTAAACCGACGTATCTTTGTTATACAAAAGACTCATTAAATGCCTCCTCGTGGGCAGACAGCTTTAACAATATAGACGGTTGCTGTGTGGGGGATATTTGCATTCATCCACAGTCAACATTTAATTTCACATTGTTTCAATTCAACTCTTCTATTTATATAAAATAGATTCAAGAGCATGCTGACTTTCAAATTTATTCAGGCATATAGACACAGTCTTTAAGAGATCATATATGGAATATTAAATATATTTTTTTGTTAGTCGTTAAATCGTTTCGTAATAACTGACACCAAGCAACCTATGCCCGGCCTGACTTTGCTTACAGAATATAAGTTTTCGCCCTTGAACAGCATGCCCTTATTTCGGCCAGTTCAATATATATAAAGCTTTGGTACAATGGACTATAAATCGTGGCAGCTGTACAGACTACAGTATATTTTAAGCCAGTTTGTTATTTTTGACCCCCGTGGCCTAGTCGCTTACCGACGGAAGGCATTAATACTCATGTTTCAAGCACAATTGGGGTTAACCCTGGTCACACGAGGGTAGAAGTTGACGAGACGGTGTCAAATTACGTTACATTTGCCTTCCAATCTCGCCAACTCTAAACCGTCTTAAATAGACAGAAAAACGATAGTCAACGGGAGTTTACGATAGTTTTCGCTTGGATGGTCACAAGAGTTGCACATGAAAGTTAAAAAGGCTAACGGCATATTTTGTTGGAAACAGCCCAATAAATTAAATTGCCGTGAAATTGTTCGGATATAGGAGAAGAATCCGGGCCTTAAACGTCAATACTTAGCGCAAATATAAGTATTGTTTTATAAAATATCATTTTTCTTGCTTATTGCTTAGTTAACATAACATAACATGAAAGAAGCATTTCAAATTTGCAATTGTAATACACTAAAGGCGGATTTCCACTTACAGCGAAATCGTTCGCCAGCGAAATATTTGCATATTTTTTAACAGCATAAAGAAATTAGTGCGACTTGACTGTTCTCAATTCCAAAGAGAATTTGCAAATATTTCGCTAGCGAAAGATTTCGCTGTAAGTGGAAATCCGCCTTAACACGACAATCATGAACGTCCTCAAATAACATAAATTCTGAATTCACACGCATCCAATCACCAGTTTTTCAATGTTTCTTACAAAAGTGAAGAACCCGGGGTTCAGTAAATATTTTGGTCTGCAAAGACCACCGGGCCTCAGTTTACGCCCGAATCGCCGTCTCTGTTTCATCGTCCGTCCGTCCGTCAACTCTTGTCTAATAATTGCTTGACCTTGGATTAAGTCATACCATTCTGCAGTAATTTCGTGAGCAAGTTGTTCAGCCCTAAGATCTACTTTGTGATTCTTGGCACACTTTCTGATCTTAATTCACAAACACACTCCTCGACCATTCGAAACTCATCGAACAAAGCGTATAGAAGAAAAGAGATAAAATTTTTTATCAATGAACTGTCACATGTATGTCCATCTTATCTTATCTCTTGGCATTTTAAAATTTGCATTTGAACAACGATTGCAATGTATTCATTTAATAAACAGCCATGGTCACATGCATGTGGACATGCTAAGTAAATGTAACTTAAAGTTTAGTTATTTTATATTTTTTTAGACTTTAATGTTGTGCAAAGAAATCCTTTGAAACGCTCTATTTTGTAACAAAAAACACCGAGAAAACAATGTTATACAAATTGTAGAAACGCAATTGTGACGTGGATTTGCGTCCATTTGGACAATGGCGCGACGAATGAACACGTCGTTCCTGTGTTTGGCATTCTTTCTTTGTGTTATCGTTGCCTTGCAAATCGTGAACCATTTTGAAATAGATGAAAACACTGAAACCTTATGCGATTGCGATGGAAAAGTCGACGAGGAAGAGAAACGCGGTGATTTTGAACGTGGAAACACGTCGCCGGTAGAGAAATCAGCCAAGCTCGAATCATACGTCGAAGGCATGTTGGAATTGCTCAGCAGTATGAACGAAGTAGAAAAATCAGAACTTGGGACGAATTTTAACAGCCTGTATGAAGTCCTGAAAGATATTAAAGAAGCAAGAAACGGCAATGCAAATACTCGAAAGCTGAGAGAGCAATTCGTTCAAAGTCCATCAGATTCAAAGAGTACAGACAATCAGGAAGTTTGCCCGGAAAAATTCCTGGGAAAGACACTCACTTACGGCTACCCATTCTTTCGAAAAGGTTTCGCAACTTTGAACTGTACTGATTTTGTGCCATTGCACGAGATCGTGACGGTCGTTTTCGACGACGTTCATACCAGCAAAATGAACCCCCCGGCTTACGAGCGTGTTCTAGGAGGTATTAAGAAATACTATCCAGAATTGAACGTTGTTTATTTAACAGAAAATAACCCGGGGGATGTGGAGAAGATAAAAACAAACGTTAAAATAGTTGAAGTCAAAAGCGGCACAAAACAGAGCAAAATGTGGAGCACAGCCATTTCCAAAGTAACCACAAAGTACGTTTTGGTTGGTCCACAGGTGACGGAATTTGACGACGACATTAACTTAAAGAGGCTCGTGCGCATTTTGAGCGAACAGCCCGATGTCACTTTTGCTTCGGGTTCGTATCGCACACGCAATGGACACTGGGATATCGGTTGTTTGCAGACGATGTTCCAGAATTACACACTGACCTTTCAAGGCGGCTACTACATGTCTTTCTGGGATTGTGTTGTCTGTGATTTCACGCCTGGACCGTGGTTGGCCCGCACAAAGGATCTGCGGGAATTGAAGTTTGATCAGAAGTAAGTCATGTGACAATAGAGAACTTTTGAGTAATAGGGAACATGATTCGTCATTCTCACGTGTTGTTTGCTTACTCTATCAGCTAAAACAAGTAGTTGTCGGGCTTCTGAGTACGAGTTTGTTGGTAGACTTCGTACTCGAAAGCCCAACGACTACAAGTTGCGTCAGATGGCGTACGGAAAAGCAACGAGTTTGTCGCAAAAATGACGAATCTTGTATTCGTAGTCGTGCTGGTAGTCACTGCTAAAGCTCCCTAATATAGAGCTTCCATATTGTAAAACGTGTTATCGAATAGCAGTGATCGCTACCTTTGAGAAAACCTGTATCCTTTATGGAAAAATATTTTAATAAAAGGTTGCATGGTAAATATATTCTATCTCAGAGTTTGATACGATTATTAATTCGATTGGAACATATAGTAAAGCTGGATGTAATAGAAAACTTGTGTGGTTTTGGAGGTTCTATGTTGTTAATCTCTTTACTTGGTTCACGTTTAGCCTAGACTTCGGTGTTTTTTACGACCTCTTCTGGAAGATGAAGAAGAAAAAGAGGATAGCCGTGAGTTGTCCTGACGTGATGTTCAACATCGACAGAGGCATTGTTGAAGATGTGAAGTTCTTAGCATTTGCATCCAAGTATGACATACGAAAGATAGTCGAACCGAACAATCAAGTTCGATGGTATGTTAAACATCTTTTTATTCAACCGTTGTTAGAACGGGTAGTGTCGCAGCTCCTCGCAAGAATGATTTTCATTGGCTGAATTTTGCAATAGATTTATGTTTCAACCAATAGCATAGCTTCGTTCTTTAGAAAGCATAGAAAAGCATTATCCAATTGGACGAAAGCTTCCGAGAGCTGCGATATGTCCCGTTAGAACACCCACTTTATTGTAGCTGAAGTTAAGAGGTCGTATATATATTTATTTGGATTGAAAGACTGTGCATGAGGGGACATTCCCTCAGCTTATCTGGTAAAAGCTCTGTACGTGATAAAGGTGGTCTTTGATTTTGCCTGAATTGAACAAAACTGGCGACTGCAGTTACTTTCATCTTCAACTCCAAAAATATTTTTACTAGCAAACGTTTACTTCAACTACAAACTAGTGGTAGCTCACATGTTCGCACACGTGTGCGCGTGGACAGATTAAACATGATGGAATTTTTCCTAGCGACCACGCGTGTCCAAATCTTCAGGAAAGCTCTATGAGCTGTAATACTGTCATACGCGGTCTTTAGCTCAGACTAACGCTAACTTCTCCGGTAGCCTTTAAACATATATTTGTTGTATAGGTATGGTTGCCGACATGGCATCAAACATGGAAGAGGAAGTTCGTGTCGAAAGGAGAGAGGACTCGGAGTCCCGCCATGCGATCTTGAAAATCTTGCTGATGCTGTGAAACTTATTATGAGGGAATGTGAGAATGCAGGACTGTTTTGTGAGTTGCAAATGGGAACCCTGTTAGGTGCGTAACCCTTTTAATACGTTTGTACACTTGGGGCCAGTTGTTCAAAGTTGGGTTGGCTTAGCTGGCTTTTGAACAACCGCCCGTTGAGTTTTAACCGAAAAATAAAGGTAGCTAGTTTATACAACTAATTCAACTAGCGTTGCAAGCGTTGGTCTTCTAAAATATTAATTAAAAATAGAACTCTGAGCTAGCAAAGTTGGTGCGTGGTTCTGTTGATAAATCCCATACGATAACTTTGACTTTGTAAAGAAATGCCCAGAAAGAAAGAGAGATATGACTAACAAAGGAAAAATCTATTTGCTCTAAAGGCAACTTTCATTGCTTTCACGCTTAGAGTTTAAAGTTTACCAACTCAAGTTTTCTTTAATAATTAATTACCGTCACGCATTGTGCGCTTAAAACGAGAGGTTTATTGTTCCGAAGGTGCAGCAGGGGACACGTATATTGAGATGGGATTCTGGGGACAGTGTGTGTTGTATTTTATGAAAGGCGCTGTTACGCTATGCAATCTTCCTTTCAACTTGCAATGCAATTATAATTTTGAGGGATGTTAATTTGTGAAGAGTGTTCGAAATGCTAAGCAAAGTTAGCAGATCCCAAGAAATATTCGTATTTGACATCTTTAGATTCCTTAGGAGTAGAATTCGAATTGCATTGCAAGTTGCAAGGAAAGTTGCATAGCGTGGTGGTCTTAAGTCTTACTTTATCTATGATAGGCATAGTTATTTATCCAGTGTACTATCAGATCAGTGGTAACTATAGTGAAACAATCTTTCAATTCACCTTTTTTATACTTTAGGAGCAGTCAAGTTCAACAAAGTCTTGCCGTGGGAGCGAGACGCTGATCTTACATTCCTTACAGCCAACTACTCGGCCATTATAAAACTCGGAGAAAAATTTCAAGCGGCCGGTTACAGTTTCACTCCCCACAAGGATTCCCTGTGGTGTTGTGTCGACGGTCGGCAGGCTGGGGGAGAGATCTCCATGACGGCTGACGGATGGAATGTTGATTTGTATGGACAACATTTAATGGAGTCCGAAATGCTCGTCGCTCGCGGTGAAGCGCCAACGAAAATCGACTTTGCCGGTCAAATGGTCACGGTGGTCCGTAACCCCGGTCTATTTGCCCGAAACCGCTACGGTTCAAATCTTTATCGGCATCAAGAGCATTGGCTGGATCGGGGCAAACAGTCAGGGTGGCATTTCTACGATCCGGGGAAGTTTGAAGGTTGTCCAAACCAACAGCACTCCGGATGCCTTAGTCAGTATTCTATTGATGGCAACATGCAATTTGACAAGAATATATGCCCGTGCACCTATCAGATTCCGCAGAGGTGAGGGAGATCGTAGGAACGGTCAAACTCATTGTGTCGGCAGAGGGGTATGGTAAAGATAAAAGATATGTCTAAGTGAAAAAAGTAAAAAGGCACGTTTGTATTCCACGTTGAAGAGAGAAACGTGGCCATGCAGCCAATGATTGATTTTTGCGTGGCTTGGCAACGCCAAAGATTTTTGTACCTCAGCCAAGCTAAACTTCAATCGTTCGCAGAAAACGGACACAATGCCCCGTAAAGACTCTCAGCCAGTCCCATGAATCACTTTGTCTTCGATTCCTTTTTTGCCCCATACCAATCTCTGCATGCTCATTATCACAATCGAGAGATTAATTATTTATTAGCACACACACATTCACGCAATCAATCTGTCCTGTTGACAAAAATATCAGTGTAGTCGACACTCAGGTCTTTTTAGGCTAAAAATAAATGTAGTTAGTGGGTTTTTTAAATTAAGGGTTACAGCGTTACGCGTTACGCCATTTGCATTCCGTGATTTAATCAAAAGCTGGATTTTGATAAAGCTCCTTTTCCCCATCTTTCCAGATTCAGTTTTAATAAGCTGAATGTGTCATCGATCTACGATTCATAGAATCAGCGATCCGGATTCCGAGATTATTAATATCGTCATTAGGTCGACTATAACCAGCCACCTGATGTTCGAATTTTCCTCGGAAAATGACAAAGGACTTTTCCCAAATTGATTCCCTTCGTATCTTTCGACAGCCAATCAGAAATTTGCAGACTATTTTTTCCGATACTCACGTTCGTCGAATGACTTGCTTCCCGACTTAAACTTCAATAATCTTGTCTGATAATAAATTTAACAAAATACTCTATTTCGATTAAAAATAAAAGACCGGTTTGACCGTTTTTTCGATTAAACGAAAGCGCACCCATTTTTACTGTACTCTGTCACTGAGAATTCAAAATGATTAAGACCCAATCACAATAACACCCCCGCCCTTGATTTTGCAGTACAATTCACTATAATAAGACACAGCAAAAATATAGAAGGGACTGGATTATGTTGCGAAATATCGCATATTCAACAGTCTTGACTTAGTTACGACGTTAGAAGAGCATTGGACTAACCAGCCAAATGTAGCGCATTCGATACCTACCGCGGTCAGACTAATTTTCCAGCTTGCTGGTTTGTAACTCAAAGTGACATGATCTTTATTCCCCCCAGTCATACACACAATCACTTATTTAGATTGTTTAACAGTACCGTCACAGAGTACCATACAATACAGACTCCATTGTTTCATGCGTATCTGTCATAAATCACTTTACTTAGCAAGTATTGTAGACAGAGGTAGAAACTCCCCCCTGAAACAGGGCGATATTTAATATTGTAAGGGGGGAGTGCTCCTGCGTGCACCCCCAGCTCGACCAAACATACAATATCCAGAAAACTGAGTATTTTATCGAATTCTTTCGCACCCAGTTGGGTTTTTTGGCATTTTCGGGTTTGGTCATGCATTTAGAATTTTCAAATATAATATTGCCATTCTAAGTTTGGTCCGATATCATTAGAATATTAATCTTAAAATCTATTTAAATATGAGGAGGTTTCCATCAAGATTGACTCTCTTAAAACCAACAGCCAGACGCCGACTGTAATTATTTTATCACGCCAATTATATCAGTTATTGTGGCAGATGAATATCTACACGTTTAAAATTCTTATTATCATCAACCGCAAAAATTATCATTAACCGGAAAGGATTTTAGAGATTCCTAGATTGTCCACGGAATAGATATTACATAGCTTGACTATCTTCGTACACTCACGTTCTATATTCAGAGATCAAGCATGTCAAAGCTACAGATCCTATCATCCCAAGCCATGCAGGAACACTTTGGAACGTATACTCACAGATATATAGAAATAGACACACAGATAGTGATAATGCAAAGACTTAGGTGTGTATATTAAATGTATATGTGATGTTGCTACTCTGACTGAACTGAGTCTAGTCCCTTCCATATCTGTGTGGAAGAGCATTGGACTATCAAACCAAAGGTCGCGGGTTCGATTCCCACCGTGGTCAAGCTAATTTTTCAGCTTGCCCGGTTGGTGACTCAGAGTAGCAACATCACATATGCATTTAGGACTCACAGATATAGAAAATATGTTAGACCTAGTTTCGATTACGATCGTGAACGTACAAAGATTTGTACGGTCCTGAAGCATAACTACCACGACGTTGGAATTGATTTCTGGGACATTCACAGGGGTCTCTGAGAGCCAAAATGCCCCACTTCTTTGAAAGTAACGAATGTGTTGTTTGATCATGCCTGTTTTCCACAAAAGGTTTATAGTTTGGTTTGCCTAGCACGTTTTTCCTGTCAGTATTTATACGAGAGTCTGACGCGTATGCAAGAAACTCCATAAAATATTGAATACTTTCACAGTTTTTGCTTGTGACGATTACAACGGCCATTCGTTGTTCTTCGTCTTTGGCATTTACTATAGGATCATCCATTCCCATTGTAATAAAAGCATCCCTTTTAGAAAACTCTCGTTCTTTGAAGCGGTTCATTGCAAAAGCCAAAATATTTGGTCGTCGATCCTGGCAAAGTTTCAATAAAGGCCCGATGTCCTTGTTAAAATACGCACCAGAATCATGATATACTAACAAATCTCCATCGTTTAGCTTGTATATCAAAGCTTGTAATATGATATATGGTTTCCACAGCCAGTAACCGGCGCCTCTGCGCATACGTAGTATGTTTTGGTGCGACAATTGGAAACCCTTTGAGACAGCGGTAAGATCTAATGCCTCGGCATAGTCCATTTTCCCATAGTTTATAGCCGTCTCAACAGCTCTAGATTTTGAGCCATTGCAGCAATTATGGCCGTACGATATGAGAATTTTTCTCCTTTTGATAGTTTTCGCAGAAACGTCATAACGGCGAAGGAGTTCCATCGTTTGTTTTGAATTCCCTTGCTCCCATGGGTGATTCCAACGAAGCTTTGTCTCTCGTAATTTGTTTAGATCGATTCGTTCGCGAAATTTCCAAAGTGTATTATTCGTTTCGAAAGGCAGTCGCACTTTTAAACCGTTTAACATTTTCTTGGCTATTTCATACAATTTCGGGCATTCCTTCTCATCATTCGTCGTGTTTACCGCGTAGACTGGCCCTTGAAAGCTCTTCGCTCTCTTAAAGTAAGTCGTATTCACCAAAATACGATGCTTACGTTGATGTTCCATTACTTCCCACTGGAGTTTCTTTGGATCGAAACACGCTTTCTTAGTTGTGTACTTGTACTTTCCTGATTTTCTGTTATATTTCGCACTGAAAGTTCGCTTGTGGCCATTCAAATATACCGAGCAAGCGACCAACACTAACCAAAACAATGACAGCTCTTTCCATATTTTTACGATTTTGTACCTGTTGACAGAAAGCCAACCCAGTCTTCTCAGTAAAGACATTCTAGAATTTATTGGATTCAACGTGCTTTAAAAACGTGTTTTGTCAGTTAGGTATATATCAATAATAATATAAAATTTAGACGAAACTTACCTGTAAGTCGAAGTTTTAATGTCATCACAAAGCACAGCGGGTGATGAGGTAGAATAGCCTGCAAGTGCTTACTGAGACTACGAAATCTTCATTTATTATAAAAATTGACCATGCAAAGGAAATACATGCATTTTGACTTTGCAAACCTTAAGTATGGAGCCCCCACCACCACATTTTTTATCAGCCAAAATTATTGAAATATAAACAGCGTAATGCGAAATATTTCGCCTGTTTCTTTTGAATTTCGACCACTTGAATAATTATTTCAGCTTCATTGCTCACAATTCAAAAGAAGCAGGCGAAATATTTCGTATCTCGCTTGAAAAATTAAGCGGGTGGAATTAGGGCTTAAGATTTAGAGAATGTGCGAAGTTTTATATTTTCTTCAGGCGAATTAAAGATGATGTAAAGTCCGTTCTGCGCATATATTCTGCGCAAGCAGCACATTCGGTTAGTGGGAGAGCAACTTTTGGAATGTTAATGATATGCGATATCAGCTCGTTGTACTATTACAAGCGGACAGTTCGGGAGCACAATTATTTTATTTCATGTCGCTAGGCGAAAAGATTTGAATTGCGAGTGACGAAGATAAGGCAATTTATAATTAAGACAAATTTAGGATTCTGTGAATAATTCAAAGTAAAATCCGTGATCGATCCCGCTTTTTAAACATTTAAAACTATTTTAATATTTTTAATGTGAAGCCCTAGCCTGGATTTTAATGTTAAAAAAACAAACAAACAAACAAATATTTTTCATATTCTTAACCTTGAATAAAATTTTTTATAGTTGTATTTTATCTATATATCATAATTGTCTATTGTATTGAAAACATTATATTCTTAATATTACCATAGTTTACTTTGTAATAAGCAAAGTTACTGTCTTAAAACCCCGCGGTGATTTCGCCACTTCTTGTAAATTTTGACTCGAGAGTTGTTGTAGTCTGGTGCATGCCTGGTTTTCATTTAGGACCTGTTTACATGGAGCGAGTTATCCCAGTTACGCGAGGTAAAAAGCGCGTCACATATTAGTTTTTCATCATATTTTCAAGGCCTTAGTTATGAGTGTCGTGAACATCTCTTAAATAATGGCTCGGATAAAATGTTTCTATGTGTGTTCAGTCAACAACGACTAATGGCACCTATAGACTTCTTTGTAACTTCATTCTTCGTGATCTTCAAACAACTTTCAAAACTTTGTTTGCGGTGGAAGGAAGGAAGCTTTTATATTTGATATTCGTGATTTGGGGAAATATAATTTTAATATCTGTCGTTCCTGACTCGCCATTTTTTGTCTGTGTACTCTGCACGATCCTCTAGTACAATAACAGTTCAGCCTTGAATATGAGTTGCTAATTATTTTGTGGAGCTCTTCGATCATTATCACGACTGTAGCCTCGTTTAAACTATACTTAATAATTATTTTTCGGCATGAAATGGGCATCGGTGCCCAATTCAAGGTTGAGTGGAATATCCAAGCGCGAATGAAATTGGTACGGGTACCCATTTTAACCGTGTCGTGCCAATAACTTGAGTGGAGTAAAAATGGAACTTGTAAACCAATCACTTCTGACATATACAGTATGAGTGGATGCAAGTGGATGCGAGGTCTAGGTCTAGAGACATAGTAGGTGATGAACAGAAGAGCGCAATGAATAGCAAGTTGTGTTTTATCAATTTATCTCGCGAAATAAATAAATCCTCGTAGCCTTTGACGCTTAAAATTTTTAAGTAAAAGACTTGAGCAAGTCTAATTTGCTTATTTCACTCGTTTGAACCAGGTTTTAGAAAATTGAGAGTTTATTTTGTTTCGGAAAGCTTCGACACGTTTCTTTCGAAGTTGCAAGTTTTCTGTTTGTTATTTTCAAAGTCCTTTATACGTGTCAAAGTGAATGATTAAAATCATAATAACCATTGAATTTCACTACAGGGAATGCCAATACAGCCCACGCACTAGCATAATTATTTAACAAGAAATGGTCGTATTCAGCTGTGCCCTGCAGTTGTTCAAAATTTTACTTACTTTTACTTACTGATTTGCCGATGTATTTGTAAACACCGATGCTTTAAAAAGAAGAGTTGAAATCAGGTAGGGAATTACCACGCTGTAGTGTTTACATATACGAGTGGTTTCCAAGAGGGAAATAAAAATCTGAAACTATATGTTTTAGCATCAAATGTGGTATCACAACTGCCTAAAATACACGCCTATTTGGTCTACTTTAGGCAGTTGCTATAGCATATTTCATGCTAAGTTATCTCAAAGAAGCTGCCACGCTGCTCCCTGGTTATACTGGAACGTATATACTTTGGTATATATTTACTAGTTGTGTATTTTAATAAAGCTAAATGTTTACGTTTAATTTCACATTTATACAAGCCTTCATTTAATTCGTTTTAAAATAATGCCAATATCAATTTGCCGCTACTTGTCCACCTTCGAGTTAACGGTTTGGCTAGCTGGCTTAGCCTGGCTACTTTAAATATAAGCTGTTCACTTGTAAATATTTATGCAATAATTATGGTGTTGAATATGGCTTATATTGTTTCAGTCTGTTAGTACCTTAGTGTTTACGTTGTGCTGAATATTTATATACGTGACATCATCGCCACTTCATTGTTGACTGCACGAGATTGTGGAGGCATTCATATAGCTCGGAATTTAGCTGTAACTTGAATTTCGCTGAAATTCTAATTCTTATTACTTCTTTATAGTGCTATTTCTCTCTACCTCTTTCCGCCATATTGTGCTTCCACACAAAGTATGTTGTATTCATTTTTCAACTTTAGCCAATTATTTCTTAATTTGTTAAATACTATCTTGATACAAGTGTGCCATTTTTGTGGTAAACGTCGCTGAACTCGGTAATATACAGACTGCGTAAATGGTATTTGCAACCGGAGAACGTCTCAAGAATCAATAGTTTTAATTTTTAATCCTGGTCGCTCCTTTAATATGTTTAAAGTGGAAGCAGGGTGCACATGACTGTCCTCATAGGGGGATAGCAATGACAAAAGAGAGAAACAAAGAACTTTTGAAGAGTGCATAAAATATTCTATTAACCTACTTCTTATGGACCGTGGAGCCCCTACCACCACATTTTTTATCGGCCAAAATTATTGAAATAAAAGTCAGACAGGAACTTGCTAACATTAAGGACTTAGCTCCCCCCCCCCCACACACACTTTCTGATACGCTCCGAGAGCCTGCCTTTAAAGTCGACCAATAAAGTTGCTCGATAAAAAGTTCTGTAGCAATTCAACTAGACTAGTACCATATTAACTTGACATTACAATATTGGCGTTTACATAATTATGACGTTTACATTATACTCAAATCATTGGCGCAATGGATACCGTGCCAGTCTCATTAGCACTAGGCGTTTGCGTACCGGGGCCGGACCCATTTTTAGTCGTGCCGTGCTAATAAGTCAGTGTAGTGTAGATAAGCGTAATGTATATCGGTATGGCCATGTACAATATATTCAGTGTGATAGTAGAAATTTCTGTCTCTTAATAGACAAAGACAGGGCACGCCATGCCTTCCTCAAACTCATTGGTTACACTGCTCAATGCTGTTCTTGCAATCTTCGTGGCTGTGATGTTTTTTATACCTGTTTACATTGCGGTAAGTATGCAAAGAATAATTTTTGCTGGTTTATATTTTGGTCAACAATAACGGATATTATTAATATATACCACTTGTCAAAGTTTTGTGTTCTTAGCGATTGGTCGAAAGCGAATCACGCAGTGACGAAATTTTGATCACGTGGGGCGCATATTTAGCTGTTTACGTTGTTGTTTTGTTTTTGACAAGTGGTATCTAATAAAAAAACCTTTTTTACCGAGACCTCAGATTTCGCCTCGTGAAATATCCACCGGTCTCGGCTCAAAAAAACATAATGTTTCCTTCGATCACGGTAAATAAGTGTTGATTGACAACATGAAGAAGGGCTCATAAACTCTTAGAAAGACGCGTTTGCTTGGGAATGGCTGTGAATGAATCTTGCAGGGGCGTGCTGGCCAGGGTCGAGACAATGGGAACTCGTTGTGGGCCCCTGGCATAATGGGCCCTTTAGACTATAAATTGAAATTTGAAAAAGTGTTAAATACACAACAGTTTGTAAAAGCAACCTTTATAGGAATATAGAAGAGTTGTATATTAGCTAAATCATGATGTCCCAGACCTGTATTATTAAGAGCTATTTGATTTGCATATCAAGTACGTGGCCAAAGCTAGCGTCTCGTTACAGAATCGCATCACCGTGTAAGGTTACTTGAAGTACTAGTATTCCTGCAACCTTCGCGTCATACAGTATAATAAAGTGGAGACAGTTTGTCTAGTTTGTTTTTGTTTGGATCGCGCCCTTGGGCCCCTAAAATGTTACTCATTCGTTGTTCTTCTTGAAGACCCAGCACGCCCCTGGAATCTTGGTGCTTTCAGAAGTGAAAACCAGGGGGGAAACCATCGCGGTGCCATGGTTTCCCTCGTTTCCCACGCCTATACTTTGAAATAGCGACATAAGAACTAATGAATAATTACTTTGTCATAAAGTAAATAATTGATACAGAACTGGAGCTAGTGTACCCACGTTTTTAGTGCGCATGCTCCACAAGTGCCGGAGATTGAAAGTATAAACAGCTCTGTAATTTATCTTTTTAGCCATTTTGAACATTTCATGCACTTGCCGAGCATGCGCATTTGGTCAATTTTCTCTAACGGGCACTAAAGAAAGCGGTAACGGATCGATTTAGCCGTCATCTTCACTCCCTTCATATTATATTAAACAAATGTAATCAAAAAATTTAATTGACACCCTTTCCATAACTGTTTATCGCTTTAAAGTGAAAGTATCTCATTGACTAGAGGGGAGCGAAGATCCATCATTGTGAGGGGGGGGGGAAATGAACGGCTGGGGGGCGAAAGCCCTAGTTATATAGTTAAAAAAGACCCTGTAACGCTAGGCTTTTCTATCCAAACCGTTTCAATTAATTTGCGCCTACATTTCTTACATTTTCAAATACTGGCTTTGCTTTTAAGGATGACTGAAATCTTAGATTTTCACGGCCTCCCTAAAATTTCCGGGCAAAGAGAATAATCAGGCACGATTTTCCTACCGGAGTGGTGCATGTTGCTCATGATCTCTACGTGGGTGGGCATCTCAGTAGACTAAATTAACTGATCATGTGGCCACCCTTATTAATCGATTCTTTTATTAATTATATATAGTTTTCTGGGTTACACGAGAGCGCAGGTACGTACTAAACTGGCCAAAATAAATAGCCTATGAAGCTATAATTTGATCACAGCTAAATGCTGTTGTCCGTGATCGTTGAGTCGTTGTTTGTTGCCGTTTTTTGTTGTTTTTTCTATTACCGTAGTTTGTTGTTGTTGTTTAAATTGTAGCCTTCGTTGTTGTGTTTGCTTTTGTTTTTGTTGTTGTTGCGTACCGACGAAAGAGCTTCGCGACGTTTAATGAATAATGGATTAAAATAAAACCAAACTACTCTGTGGTGCTGAAATACCGCTCAAGTACTTTCTTGTAAGGGCTGCTTAATTTCTATTTGTTTCTCATGTGAAAGCTTAAAATCATATAAATGTATTTCTAATACTAATAAAATCAGACCGGATTTTGTTTGTTTGTTTTTGCAATAAAACTCGTGAAGGCCGCTGCAGCCCGTCCAATTATTTTGGCAAAATTTTCAAACATCATTCGTATACCGTTATTTTTACCGCCATCGCATGACTACCTATTAGAAAACCAGTCTGGTGTAGAAAATACTTACAACGTTAACGTGGACAACTTTCACTGATCTCGACCAACATATAAAAACACGGAAATTTAGATAGATTTTAATGCTTTTTAGAAAATAATGTTAACAGAATCCTCCAACGAAGTCTTTTCTATATTTACTTCTTCATTTTTCACTTTGACTGAAACAACTCGCCGCCATTTTAAAAACGCTGAAATTTTCGGTACAACCACTTTTATAATCAATACTAAGACAGGGTAATTACTATCTAGACGAAGACGCAGTCTTCTCACCAGAAACAATAGTGTTGACTCCAGAAGAAACTCATACCTGTCTTGACCCACCTTACGTTTCGCCGACGAATGACAGACCAAACAACCAGGAGGAAGAACAAAGATTAATAGCTGCTTTGACAAACCTGCAGACGAAGTGTGATCATCTTGTATTGCCTGGATCACCTAATCACGCACTGACAACGAATCATGAAGATCTGCGATGGAATTCGTACGTTTGTATCGGAGGAAAAACAGGCCTGACAAAGAATAATTGTTTGATCTATTCTTTTGGGTAAGGATTTGAAACCGGAAACTTTTCCAGTAGATAATTTTGTGACATAGAAGAGAAAGTGAAGAAAGCAATATTGCGACTATTAAGTCACTGTTAAGTTTGACTGTTATCATAAGGAGACTAGGTCCCAGCCATAGGGGAACGTGCCTATAATTATAAGCGAAGGTGTTAAGCACTGATTGGACGAGCAAGATTTTTCAAATTAAGACGGAAGCTCACCTGATGAGGTGACGCCAAGTGACGCCAGATAGCCACTACCAGCACATTCAGAAATATTCATAGCAGATGCATGATCAATTTTCAGTGTTCGTCCATTTTAAAAATACTTCTTTTTCCAGCATCAAACACTTGTGGGAGAAGTTTCCAAGCAAAGTGGAAATGGACCTCGGCTGTCAAGTATTCGGATTTGACCCAGGTCTCGACTATATTGACCATTACCGCACGGCGAAAGTGCGGTTTTTTAACGCGAGATTGTACGACAAGGATCAACAAGCGCAATACCGAATATCGGGTCCACCTGGTTGGAAATATCGAACATTTTTAACGTTAATCAAAGAACTACATTTCAGTGACGTAAGTTTTTATTTCTCACGATTTTCTCATTTAGAAATACAGTAACATATCTTACCAAAAATACATTTCCACACATTTTTGTATGAATTTGGTAACCTTGATTTTACGTACGAGGAATGATAGAAGCACTTACATGCGAATTTTTCAATGCCAAAAATCCTGAATAAATGGCACCCTAACTTTCGAGCAAAACCACAGGCATGCAGTGACAGATGATACGGAATAAAACAATGGGAAAGAATCTGAGAAAGAATTCTTCAGTTGTTTGCACTTAATATTTCTAAAATACTCGACTGATTACTCGATTATCCCATTTACTCATTCAACTTAGACTTCTCAAGTACCTAAAATTGTGTTCATTTACTCAGAAGATGGGTATTTTCTATTCAAAAGAGAAATTCTATTTTTTTCTCCACAATAGCCTCTTATATTGAATAAAACAAGGGATTTATTTTTAAAAAATAAGAAATAAATTGAGTAACTTTTACACAGGAAAGATTCTCATGTAATTATACTTTGTCAGTATGGACGATAGTTGCTCGCTACTGTCAATATAACAACAATATCAAAAGTTAAAATACGACCTATGACATCAGCTGTGTTCCATCACAATTACTTGCTTATCACAATTATAATTAGCAATAATACCACGAGCTCAATTCGTATATGATTCTGTCAATTTCTTCTTTATTTACCTCAGCAAACCGGTCAGCCCTTTTGCTTTTTATTTGGTTTTGCTACCCACAGTATATGAGCTGATATGCGGTGGGTAGCTCGACCAATCAGATTGCAGAATAGCTCATATACAGTGAGTAGCTATATTATAATCACAATTATGCCTACTCGCTACGATTTAAATCAGTTTAACTTTAAAAGCAATTACAACACAAAGATTACATTTGTCTTTGACGCATCTTACTGGCCGGTAACGTCACCTTTTTGCGATGACATATATATCATGGCCAGAAATTGCGGACATCGAATATGCAGATTGCCGTAGCAAATTTGCATATCTGTTCAAATATTATTCGTTTGCAGAACTATAAATTATATTGCGCATTCTTAAATTTCGCAAAATTTAAGAAAATCATTGCATCTTTGCAATTTGCCCTGGTTGTTTCTTGTAATTCGTGTCATATTAAAGATCCTGAGGTAATATTTTGCTGGTAAAGGTTTATGTTGGCTCTGCATTTTTTTTTTATTTCTACGCTATTACGGTTTTTGTTTTATATGGTATTCAACGTGATAAATAATCAAACTTTTTTTTGAAAATGCAGGACGAATACTGATAAAATATTTTGAAATACTATATAAAAATATTAAGATTAACTTGCTCTGCAACGAGTAATTAAGGCAAATTATAATTGACCTACCTAAAGGTGTATTTTTAGCGTTTAGTACTGTGCACATTACAGTTTACTATAAACTCACGAAGCTTTATTTTGACACCATATGCAAATTTAGGCGGAAGTAGAATGTTAATTATGTCCGAATTTTCTGGCCATGTAGCACATGCAATTACATATATATTGAAATGCACAACTTTCAGGCTATATGTGCGCACAATAACGTTTTCTTTAATCCTTAATTTTTCCATATTAGGCATATTTTTTCTTGCATCGTGTGGACAGTGCGCGTCAAAGCAATAAAATAGACAAACACGATTTCAAAACGCTCAAAAACGACTCTCGTGTGCACATATAGCCTGAGGAAGGAAAATTAGAAAGAGTCCATTTCTTTAGGAACCAATCGATCACGTTCGTCTTGATATAACAGCAGACCTGTGGCAAGGGATATCCACAATGCTTAAGGATGGCAGCCTGTTAACCTACGCCAAACAGCTCAGCTTTGAATACGACTTGAATAAGAAGAATGTCACACAAAACAGAGAGATATTTACCATCACACAATGGTTAAACAAACAAGGATTTCTATTGGCTCACAGCCAGCCAACCAAACTCAGCGGTAAATCCTATTCAGTGGTTTATGTCAACACGAAAATGAACGATGCACGATGAGAAGTCCAACCCATAGAAAATGGTAGTTATTATACATTTATATACTTGTCGAAAATAAGCAAAATAAAAAATATACACAGCATTCAGCAAGATGAATCTGATCTTGTAAACATTAGGGCTACGTTTACACGATGTCTGACGATTTGGGAACGTTCCGAAATTCGTCCTTTTTCGCCTGTTTACACGGAACCATGCAAATTCTGGTCCTTTTTTGTCGAGTGTTTACACAGTACATCAAGGCTAATTTTGCTATTGGTTATAGGTTATACTTCATGTAAAAATACAATATGAGCATCGTCCTGTTTAGAAATTTCAAATTTATAGTCTGTTCCGTGTTTCTCGTGTCCGAACGAAAAGACGAAAAGGACGAACCGGTTCCAAATTCGTCCGGTGCGATGTATACGGGGCCTGGATAACAAATACGTCCGGAAATGAATGTGCATTTAGCTATTTTTTAAGCCCCATGCAGACGGGTAAGTTTTCATTGACAAGTTTTCTTGACACGAACAAGTTTTCGTTGACAAACACGGCAAGAATTGGCAAACACGGGCCTTCGTTACTCTCTGCTGATGTTTTTTAAACCTCTTATAACTACATTTTGCGTAGTTAAATCGTAGTTAAGTCAGAAACAAATGACTCTGATTGGTCAATTCTGTCACTAACTATAGTTAAAAGTTAACTACGTTTTTATACAACCGGCCCCTGCATGGTACTATGCAAAATTATGCCCCGTACAGACGGGCAAGTTTCCTTCGACAAGTTTTCGTTGACAAGTTTTATTTGCTCGTGTGTACGCGAAAAAATTGACAAGTTTTCTTTGACAAGGAGCTTTGTTCAAAAGCTAGTCATGCCAGCTTTTCAACAAGGAAAAATGGCCGTCAAAGAAAAACTTGACAAGTAATTGCGCAAGCAGCAACAATCTACGACTTCGAGCCAATCGAACGAGTTTTATCATTTCTGTTTGTTTTGACTGAGATTCGGTCGTATACTCATATTATCATGCCTCATATTATCGTAAAATATAATCATATCATCGTAAAATATACTCATATTATCGTAAAATATACTCATATTATCGTAAAATATACTCATATTATCGTACTTATCATTTGTCAAGAAAAATTTGTCAAATTTTTCGCGCACATGCATGCACGAGCAAATAAAACTAATTGCAAGAAAAACTTGTCAATGAAAACGTGTTCGTCATACGCACGAGCAAGTGAACTAGTCAAGAAAACTTGTCAAGGAAAATTTCCCTGTTTGTACGAGGCTTAACCGGCGGCCGATCGATAAGCAGTGGCGTAGCCAGCCTGACGATTTTGTCTCGCTATGTAAATTTCGAGTTCTTATAATTATTCATGTCTTTAGAAATCTATTGTTTTCACAGCCATGCAGTAAACACAAAATTATTAGCATGGCAGGACAAATCGACAGGCTGGCTACGCTACTGTCCGATAAGTCAATAGAACATCTTCATATACCAATATTGTGGCCAAAAAAAGGTTATTGAAATCTGAAGTACTCCGAAAAATGGCGGTCATTTGTAATTGTATCTCGGCTAGGTGCATAAAGCTTGCCGAAAGTTGAGTGAGTGAACTTTGGTTGAAGTGTCGTATAATGTTGCGTGATTTTACGCCTCTCATTTCGAATCAGTTGGATGTTCAACATTTATAATTGAAATCGATAGTAGACTTTTTCATGCATTTAGGCACAAATGCAGCAAACGCGACGCTGTCAGACAAAAGGGACCCTTGATTGTCCTTGATAAAACTCATACTAAAATCGAAAATGCATGCGTGCAATCCATATTTCATTGTTTTATCTCATGTTACGTCTACCATGCACTTGTACTATGTTAATACGAAGATAAGCACATGTTTGCGGGGGGATATTACTGGCTAGTCACACTGTCACCAATGTATATGATACAGACTTCAGTATAGTTCAGGAGTCATCCCACGCGATCGACAAATTGTAGTCATTTTGCGAACAACTGCATGTTTACACCGTCTATCAGTCATGCAGTATGAATTCCTATAGTTCTGACTCTCATAGTTAAAAAACTAACAGGTTTATTCAAATATTCCGATATGACTTAATATTCATTTAACAACTATGTGACATTTAACAATTAATAATTGTAGTTTAACTTCAGCTCGAGTCGTTTTTATAATTATATTGGCTAAATAGCCAAGTCCGAGAAAGCAAGATAGCTAAGCAAGCAGAGATGACTGTCAATCGTACTATAAATCATATATATTTATATTTATAAGAGAAAGACATATAGGCCATATGACTCTCTCTTATAAATATAGACAGAACTTTACATTAAAAAAATTATGCAAACCTTTTTTCCGATAACTCAGCCAATCAGATTTCGTATAGCTCGTATACCGGATAGCATATAGTTACATATTAGCTATATCACATCTGCATTTATGCATATATTAAGTCTTGCACAAGCTAACCCATCTTTATAAACCCGACCTCTTACGTGGAAAAAATATATACATATCAAATTCCTGTCTATAATTATAGACAATTTATTAATTTATTGCATTCAGAAAGGAAGCGATATTTGCTTCGAATTTAGCACCTTTCTCTATATAATAAGAATTGTTGGCAATTCAAAAATAAACTCCGTTCGGAAGATCTGAAATCGATATTTTCAAAACAATGCACCACATTAGCCGGACAACACGGTGTCTATTTCTTTCCAACCATCTTACGAAAAGGTCCTTGGTCGCATTGCTGGTGATATTTTGTCTAATGCGCTTTGCGATGTTCGGAGTTTACCACTTCAACGATCTGGGGAAGTATTACGTAAAGGTATAAATAAGAATAGTAGTTAATACTTTTATCATTCTGTAATTTGTATCCAAGCTGGCGATTGTCCAGGACTCTCCAGGAGAACAACAAAGTAACTACCCTGGACTGCCTAGAAATATTAGTAAGGCTAGAGTTACAAATATTGATTCGTTCTTGTGCTAGCTTCTATATAGGAATGATTCGCAATTGTTATAATCATGTAATTTCGTTCGACCGTAAATAGTCTGTGAAAGATAATTCAGGCATCGAGCTTGCTTTTATGATTGCTTTTACATACCTTATTGATTAATCTACTAAATCTGAATGCTACTGACCCTTTTTATAGTTCAAAGCATAGCATTGTATCGTGATATAAATCATTGTTTTGTGATATAAATCATTGTGTTTTGATATAAATCATTGTATTGTGATATAAAGCAAGTTATACAGGTATAATTGATCAGAACGCCGTATAAAAAGCGCCAAAGACTCAAACTAGAGACCTTTAGTTTGACGTTTACGGCAAACGCCAAACTGCTAACAAAGTTTGTGTTTTAACTCCACTACCTTTAAGTGTGCGGCAATTTCGCTAAATTACAAATATTCTACATAAAACTGGTGATCGATGTTCAGCAGTATATAATGTAAGAAGGCAATACTCTATTTTATGCTCTAACGGCTGTGGGTGTATGCAGTCGTTCAAGCATTAAATTTTATACGGCGAACGTGAAACATTTCTTATAATTACTGCTGAACATCACGAGTTTTATGTATACAGGGTGTCCCAAAAAAAACGAAAACTATTGAAATCACCCATAACAATGTAATTGTTAGAGTTTGAATGCCTAAGCACTCTGATGGACCCACAAGTGTGTAAATGTTTGCCATAAGCATTTTTATGCATGCATATGATGCAGTAAAATTTGCTCGTACGCGAAAATGATATTTATTAACAATATTTAAATGTGCATCTCAATCACCATGACCTTTGACAAGTCCCCTTTCTCTAGCAACACAAAGCATCTAGCATTTCACTGTCACTGAGTTGCATTAAATCCCCACGGGTTAAAATTCGTGCACACGGCATTCAAATTTTAACAATGAGTGATTTCAATAGTTTTCGTTTTTTTGGGACACCCTGTAGAACGTTTGTAATTTAGCGAAATTGCCGCACACTTAAAGCCGTAAACGTCAAACTAAAGGTCTCTACATTTAATTATTAGGAATTTAATAGTCGGTTCTCGTATGCGTTCGTCCGTGCCTCGTTGTCGAAACGAAGCCAACACCACGACATTTTGCACGGCAATACGACATGTTTCAAAGCCTGCATGTGTCAACGTTTGTCGGACGCATGTTAAAGCCTGATTCACGGGCGTAATTTTTCAGCGAAATGCGAAATAAAGTGGTCGAGATTACAAAGAAGTAGCCTATAGGCAAACTATTTCGCATTTCGCTGAAAAAAAAAGCGTGAAATCAGACCTTTAGCGCCACTGTTTTTATATAGCATACAGTGAAGAGATTAATCTGAATAAAAAAAACGGTAAAATTCGTGCAGAGATCCATCGAATATAGTTTCATTCCTCATTTCCGCTTTATTTTATGCCACCAAAATATCCATTGCCTGCCGATGGACTTTCCTCAGTAAATTTACTGCCGTCAAAGTAGTTCCATTTCGTAAGTAACTATATACTCGCGTCTGTACATGCCCCATATAAGTATATGGGGCATGTCAACGAAATGTTAACTTGTCAGCACTATATGGTCTGCACATAGTCAGCCCTATCAAATATTCCGGAAATTCTACTCCTACTATTTCGAAAAACACACATAATACTCATCAAAGGTCATATGACTATATATCATGTGACTATATCATACGTATTCAAATAATTCAATGCTTGTAATGTCACATAAACAAAAAAGGGAGCTTTTTTTAGGATACTAATGCGCGACTCTTTTAATAGGCCCCTTTCAGACGTGAAATTTTTCACTTAAATGTGTCGAATCGAACGCGAATTATACCTTAAGCAGAGACAGCTCATTTACATTAGGTTCGGCAATCGGCACATGAAAGTTCGACGTCTGAAACATGAAGGCATAATTATATTGACTTGTTTCCTGAAAACGTTTAAATTTTGACATAAATACGAATCGTTTCCTAATTTGGTGTTTTAATGGTTTAAGGGTATATGCATGTTCTGGCCTGCAATATTTATATCAAGAATTGGATTTCAGCCTGGGTCGGCTATAGCTAGAATTACATTTCTTTGTTGCATGTTAATCTTTCTTTACAATAATTTAAAATCTGTAGTGTTGAGCAGCTATAAAAGCGACGTATATAGCATAAGAAATTTGCTGCCCCGTTAGTTTTAGCGTCCAAGGCTTAAACAGTTATATATGGCCTATGTACAAAACAGGATATATATATATATACACATATTGCCTATTTTTTAACATATATACTTCGAACAGTCAGAATCGTGTAACTGAACGTTATTAAACACAATTTGACTACTGAAAATGTAGCGAAATAAGTTTTAAGAACCATCAGGCGCGGATCTAGACCGTATCGAACGTGGCTCGAGCCACGGTCAGATTTTCGCATCCAGAATTTTCCCATCTGCAATCTAATATTCACACATTATTTAGAAGTACATATTAATTATTTGAATCACACCAAAATTAAGGAAATATATGTCTAAAACAAATAATTCGAGTAATATCTTTCGTAATCGTTGTCATATTATTACCAATTCCTGCTAAAAGTGGGAACAAATTCCCAATTATTATTCCTTGTTTCATATTATGATTGTTCAGTTAACACTGAACTATAAAATTCGCCGAAAGCTAACCGAATTGTGCCGAGTATGTTCGGAAGCTAGTCGTGCATTCGAAGCTGCGATCACAGCAACTGGTTGACACGGTCAGCGTGCAGATTATTGCGCAATTGTTACTAAATATAGTAACGTCCGGACACGGTGCAGTGTAGCAAACCAATCACAGGGCAAGCTTTTGCCACGTGCGACACGGTGCGACACGGTGGCCTGTTTTTGATTGCGCAATAAACATGATAAACAATAAAGTTCGACACTTCTCGACTTCGAACTCGGATATAGTTTATAAATAACACGTTAAATTGGTCTGTTCGCTGCATCCTGGCTGATTCAGGCTGAATCGAATGTATTAATACATGAATCCGTCGAAATTTCTCAAAAGCAAATCCAAGCGAGCATATTTCAGGGGAAATATCGCTTTTCAGGCTACAACATGATGGAATTATTACTAAAGAAAGGCTTCGCTCGCTCGCGTTATACAATCGCAACGACAATTTTTAAACTGCTATTTCCCAAGAGACAAATACTGAAAATCTTTGCTTAATGTCCTTGTAAGGTAAGACTTTTAGGTTTTAAATCGAGCTATGGGCGCTCTTCTTTATACGGAAAAACGGCCAGACCGGTTCTGTTGTGTTCGGTAGTCGGTACAGACAAAAGTATATTGTTATTTACATCTGATCTGCCTAACACGGGAAATGCAGTTTCACCGCTATATTCTTAACGAAATACTCTATTTCAATTTAAAATATGACCGGTCTGACCTTTTTGGCCGCTTAATGGAAAGCGCCCTAGGCCCTATGATACAAATTTGCATTTACGCTGTGAATAATTTGTGTATGCAAATCTCACGTTATGTTGAGTGTGAATGAAATATCCGTAAATACCTTTATAAGCCTTAACAAAAAATTTTGAAAATGGTTTTGTGGTTTTATGAAAGTACAGGGATTTACAATATTCGCTTTTAAACGTTCCCCCTTCGCCATACGCCCCCCCCCCCGACCGGAAAATTTTTAGTCCAATATGACACGGTCAGATTTTCGGCTGGATCCGCGCCTGCATAGCTACAAACTCAACGAAATATTGACTATCATGTCCAGATAATTTGTCAGATCAGATGTCTAAAATAAACGCTGTACCAGCAGTCGAATTTTTTTCAGGAATTCTACTCTGTTCTTAACGAACAGGCGATTTGAATTCCCCAGTTTCAATTGTATTCTAAGCAGGTGGATGTGTACTTGTTTAATCAGGGATTAATGGTATAAAATCAGCCAGTAGTGTTAGGAATTAAGTCTTAATTAGTTTTATATACAGCTCTGACCTTGATCACCAAAGGAGTCAATAATTTTTATACCTGTGATGAAACTGTTACTTCACGTGTGTATCGTGTGTGTATCACGTGTGTATCGAATGTGTATCACGCGTGTATCGTGTGTGTATCACGTGTGTATCGTGTGTGCATCACGTGTGTATTGTATGCACGAAGAAATCTAATGGGATAGAATGGGATAATGTTGCAAGTTGGCCACGCTGCATGTTCATCTAATGTATTCAGTCTGTAAAGTTTATACACAGCCTTACAGAGAGGCCGAGTAGAAAATCTTTGGATGATTATTGTACATGTTCTTCTCCCGTGGCCACTATTTCTCTCTTTCTCTGATACATTTACCTTTCCCTCTCTCTTAGAGCGGTTTTCACTACCACCGTAGGCTTAATTTTTCGATGGAGCAAAACTTTTTGCTTGCATGGTTTTCTTTTTCAATTGTGACCAGTGAACTGTAAAAAAATCTGGAACGCTAACTTGGCCGCCATCTTTAAAGCCAAGTTTGAAGGTAGTTTTTGAACGTTAGAGACAGACGTAGTGGAGGGTAATTATCCAGGAATATCAAGAACTCTCAGAAAATCCCTTTTTCTATTGTGCATGACCTCGTACAATCTTTCTGTTACAGGTAGCTAATGCCGACATGATATCCGGGGACTTCAGTTGCAAAAGCTCGATAGTGAACAATACCTGCACGTTCCCTATGAACGAGCGCAATGGGATGAAGTTATGCCTTAACCTTGGTGAAAAATGCAAAGGATTAACCTATAATCTTGGAACAAACACCGTCAGATTGAAGTCGGGCGTTTTAGAGAGACCGAAATTTACTCTGGGCGTTGTAACTGTTCTGAAAAAGGAATATAAGCATTTCATAGAAATCAAAGAGGAAAATTGCGCACCCCCAGAGGTAGGTTCGTGAAACAATCTATATTAATATACAATCTTCGTGCATAGCCTAAATCAATGCACGCGATTGGTCAAAATCAATCACGTGATTTCTTGTTGCCTGGTGACAGATCATGAAAATCGTGGTTTATTCGCAATAACCGCATTGTGCACAAGTCCCCAAAGGTAAGTCACTATTCCTAAAGTATATTCTTTAGTGTTCTGGGAACCAGTCAGTGTTTAACTATGTGATTTAACTATGCAAAATGTAACTTAGCATCAAATATGGTATAACAACTGCCTAAATAGACAAAAACACTTCTCGACGTTTCGACCTGAGGGCCTTCGTCAAGAGAGTTAGTATGAGTCAGGAGAGTTAGTCGAGAAGTGTTTTGTCTATTTAGGCAGTTGTTATACCACATTTGATGCTAAGTTGTTTGAAGACGCTGCCACGCTGCTTCTTGGTTATATTGGAACTTATGCAAAATGTAGTTAAAGAGTTTTATACAACCAGCCCAAGGTCATGAAACCTTATCATGCGAATATTGCTGATACCTTGTATTGAAGTAATGACATAAATATGCCTATAAAAATCAGGCTTTAATCAACAAAAGAAAAACTACTAATAAACATGGTGGCCCAAAAATAAAATGTACAGCTTGAGTGCGGGCTCAGTTCAGTTCGAATCAGTCCATACTTCATTTTACATAAAAGCGTTCTGATATATATTACAGCAATGTCATTTGAGGAACTGCAAAGCATTTCCTTCTGCAGTGTCTTATAACTACTCATTGTGTGACTAGATATATATGTCTTAGACAGTTACTATCTGAACATGAGCTAGGAATTCGGAAGTTGAAAATTATACATATCAAATCCGTTAGTATATGCATATAGTACTTTATGACTGAGTGTTACTCCTTTTCAAAACCCTTAGAAAAGCCAAGCAAAGTCAAGCGTGGATAAGAAAACTAAGAACAAATTCTGTAATCTTCCCATTATTGACCCTTTTGATCCAACTGTTATGAAAATGATCGAAAAGGTTCCGCCTTTGGTTTGTAAAGGAAAGAAAAACTTGACTTTTTATCAAAATGGAGTCCTAAGAATCACTCCAGGTTTGTTGCATCCGCGGTGCGGTCATGCGGGTTCGGATATTTTGACATCAGATCCTGATACATCACAGGTGCTGATAATTATACTGACACATGGTGTTGGAGATTGGGTTTGCTAGATCACATCATTCAACTAAATTTATTTAGACTTGTTGTGGTAGTAGATGGTTTTCGATAGGCTCTTAACATAATAATAGGCTCTTGAATATAATTTATTTAGTTCATGTAATTTCCCTACACAACTTGAGCGAATCAGAAATAATAAAAGCAAGAAAATTTGTTTGAATTGGGCCACAAAATATGTCAGAGATCAACAAATTCAAACCAATTTTGAGTACCAGTCACTTTCTATTATCTTTGTCTTCACGGGAGACGATCAGGCCGTCAAAAACAATAGAATTAAAGGTGACCAGTACCAAATTCAGCTTCAAATTGTAGCTTCAGCGAAATGGCCGGCAGCTATCGTTCCAGTCTTTACTGATGCAGTCCACTTGCCGAAGTTAGAATATCGCCTTGGGAGTTTAGACTGCCGGTTGTCTCAAAACGATTATTTAATGGGTCCGATTCAAACACGTGCGAGATTATTGTGAGCAATAATTCCTAAGTATTTGAATCAAGCCATCTAAACACCGGAAACCATTAAGTAATTATTTTATAAAATAATAACAATAAGGTGTGTTCAAAGTTTGATTTCAAAAAGCGAATTAAATTTCCGTGTTTGGATGGCCTGATCCAAACACGGGCTTCGTCCAATCAGAACACGCGTTATCATGTCATTTTATAAATAACATCTAACTTCCTTTGACGCGTTATAGGAGAAAATGTAAGAAAGGTTGACTATCAAATTCTACGAAGAAAGAGAGACACTGGGCAAGGTTACGACGTTTTCCGAACGGGCACGTTGACGCCGTCGGATCCCGAAGTGGAGCTAAACGAAGACATGGTGTATCTTGAGGTACAAACCGACGATGGTGACGCCCAAAGAGAGTTTCACCTTGATGTACGACCACGTAAAGAGTACGTAGAACGCAGTGCGAGTACCAAATCAGGTATACCGCTGAACGTTATGATGGTGGGCATGGATTCCACGTCACACGCGCATTTTCATAGGAAACTGGGAGCAGTCTATGAGTATTTGAGGGACGAGCTACACTCGGTCATATTCAATGGACATTCGATTGTTGGTGATGGCACCACTGAGAATGTCGTAGGGATGCTTGTTGGTCGCTTTCTAGATGAATTGCCTGAAGGCCGAAAAGGGTGAGTTCAGGAATTTTTCAAAAATAATTTTTCTTTCCCATATCAAAGATTTTCCTCTTCGCGTTAATAAAAAACCGTTTATTGTTAAAACCAGTCCACACAGGCAATTTTTGATTATTTTATGCCTGGTTTCTCTATATATTCGTCACAAGTGGTGAACATGTCAAAATAACTTACGTGATAGAATATTTTTATGTAAGACAAATTTACATCCGGACTATTTATCATCGGAGAAAATGACTTGTTCAAGAAAATTACGCCCGGTCCTAGGTTCATTCCTTTGTAACACGTGGTTTACTGTTTTAGGAGGCCTGGTGCCGAGTGTATCGACCGCTGGCCACTAATATTTAAAGACATGCGAGAACATGGCTACGTAACATACTATAGTGAGACGAGGTTTTGGAACGGTGCGATTACGGCTCGACTTAAAGGTTTTTGTACACCCATTGATCATTACTTACTGCCATTATGGTATGCAGGCCTGACAAAATGACATCGATGTTTAGAAAAAGTGGTAGAGAAAGGCACGTATATTAAGGGTCACTGCCTGGGCTCTCAAGCGATATACAACGTTAGTTTCGACGCTGTTCAAAGCTTCCTTGACGCTTACCCCAACACGCCAAAATTCGGGTTTCAATTCAATGCAGATTTTTGCCATCACGAATCTTTTAATTTTATTTCGCTGGTCGAAGATAGGCTGTTCAATTTTCTCAAGCATTTGAAAGATAAGAATTATCTTAATAATACTTTGTTAATTTTATTTGGAGATCACGGACTTCGCTACGGTTTTGTCCGTTCCAGCATTCTTGGCCGGATGGAAGAGAGATTACCTTTTCTGTCTATGACTTTCCCGCCTTGGTTCCAGGCCTCTTATCCCGAACTCTATGCGAACTTACGAAGGAACGCCGAAGTTCTTACGTCGCATTTCGATATCCACGCTACCCTTCAGCATCTTTTGACGTATCCGAAAGAGCCGCAAGGTTTGCCTCACGGGAGAAGTTTATTCACAGACATAGGTTGGAGAACATGCGAACAGGCGGGGATACCATTTCATTACTGCCCGTGTTTAGACTGGGATATAGTTAGTGCTGACCACAAAGATGTGCAGATGAGCGGGCTCGCTGTCGTCAGCAAAATTAACCGCATGCTGAAAGAGACGGGCATAGACCAAAAATGCGCAACTTTAAAACTGGAAAAAGTTAAATCAGCAATTTTAATAAAGTCAAAAATCGGAGGAGATGAAGAAAGTCGCGCAACAAATGTCCTGAAGGGTAAATTAGATCTATAATAAACATATCTGCCTCCATATTGGCGTTTTGAATCCCGTGCACGCCGTCACGCGTTTTATAATTTATACTTTGTATTACACCGATTTCTCATTCAAGAAAACGGAACAGTTTAGGGTAAGTCAGAATAAACTACAGTTCTACATCAACTTGCAATCACATTGATATATTTTTTATGTTAAAACACTGTTTTGAAATGAATAACCAATAGCGTTTTTATTAAGGTAGTTAATAATAGTTAGTAAATTGAAAATGGCCGTGTAATTTATTCTGACTTACCCTGAATCCGCCACTGTACAAGGCAAAAAACAAACCTAGTCACCTAGAAAAAACACCGATAATACTCCCTTATTTTGCCCTTATGAATACCAATTTGCCAATGTGTGGTTCAAGAACTGCCTACTGAGATGGCTTCAAGCAGGGGCTGGGGGAAGGCAGCCGCCTCCCCCATGCGGGATCTCTAGCCCTTCCCACTATCCTCCCTCCGCTGGGAAATACAAAAACTGCCTAGAACAGAGAAAAAATTTACCATATCGCTTACAATGAACAGTTTTAAGTATATTTATATTATGCAATCATCAACCCCCACAAGAATCTTTATAATGAGAAGTAGTCTCTAAAGGCCCTTTAACCAATACAATCATGTTTTTCATAGGTGGTTGCATGTATCAACTTCAAGTTGAGACAACGCCAAATAACGGTCTCTACGAAGCGACGGTACAAATGATCTTCGGGGAACCTCATGTTAATCCTCAAATAAGCAGAATCAACCAGTATAGAAATGCAGCGAATTGTATTAGGTCTACACAACCATTACTCAGGAGATTCTGCTACTGCATATGAAATCAATTTAGCCGGACACTGGGTAGACGGACGGCACCTTCCCGTAACATATAGTGAAGGGCCTCTTTACAACAACGAGTTTTGAACTACGGTGAAAATTGTTTACATGAAAATCGAAAAAGCCGAATCAAATAAAAGGGAAAGACTTTACATTTATCCCGAAAGAAAACTTCTGTTTTCTCGGAATGCGACGATAATTTTTGCAACAATGCACTGACTACATACATAGCATATAAAATTTATATTCAATCGTTGACAATTAATCACAGTAACGCTAAATAGGATTCGTACAACACGTCCCAACGCTTTGAGTAGAATAAAATAGACAGATAAAAGGAAGTTTGGTGATGTGATCACCCTGCAGTTAAACACACACAACTTTACAAAGTATAATAGGCCTTTAGCGTTTATGAAATTAGTTGTCAGCTTTGTAATTAGACTTTTAATTCAATGAGTTTCACACTTCTGCGAACAGCGAGCACAACTAGTCAGTCTGGCTGAAATGTGACAACTTCTTGGAAACTTTTGTTACTTCGAATTTCGAAATGTCCACCATTTCAACATGTGTATAATGAAGTATTCCATCAGTCAAAGGTGTAACTGCTGATAAGAGTTATCGCTTGTTCACAAAGGGGAAAAGATTGAAAATTTTTCTGATGTCGAAGTGACTTTTTAAACAGAAATTTGCCATTTTCTTCCGTGAAATCAACGAAAATGGTACGTTGCATTTCCTACGCTCTATTCCTTGATACAAAGCTGTCAATTTCGACGTAAATCGTTTGTATACTCGCTCTTTTCAGGAAATATTTGTGATGGTTCGTCGCGCGAAGCTCACCATGTTTCTCGATTGTACCGAGTCAACAACCGTGTCTGAGCTGAAGAAAATGATCGAGGGCATTGCAAAGACAGCGCCAGAAGATCAGAAATTGTTCAAAGATGAACAGGCTCTCGACGATAATAAAACGCTGGGTGATTACGGCTTCACAAGTCAAACAGCCAGACCACAAAATCCCGCTATGATTGGTTTGGCCTGCAAAGTGGAAGGTAACTTTTGATTTCTTTATCTCTAAGGAGGGAATAGTTTGGATTGGCCATGATAGTGAGCATCAGATTTATTTTTTTGTCCTTGAAATTACCACTTGAAGTCACTCAGCCAACCCAACCCAAAGACCATCTTTGGTTGAGAGAAGAACTATATTTATATTAATAAACCAATAAACTGGTATTTCCCAGTTAACTCAATCACTGGATTGGTAACTGTTCATTAGATTGCCATTAGTGGGTGAAGCTGAGGTGATTGCAATTGACGTACAAAATGAAAGTCATAAGCAGTTTGTTTGATGCTATCTTTTAGCTAATTTCAGTTGTATTTATGAGAGTAACACTGGTTATTTAAACTAAACAAATGTTATTGTGGAAAAAGTAGAAAAATTCACCCTCCATATTTGCTAACTGTATGGGGAAAAATGCATAGACATTAGTATGCATGTCAGTTACACCTTAAAGATAGCGACAGAGCGACACTCCATTTTCCTTTATAATAGAGTTTATTGGTGTACCATTGGGTCTTGCTCCTCCACTGGCCAATAAAATTGTCTGGTATTAATTGAGTTGGTATATGCTTGGTTAATGCCAAGCGAAAGGCAGTAACAGAGAGTTTTGTTAATCTATAAATAAGCCACCCATATGTAGGCTTTCTGTTGACCAAAAATTGAGCAGAATTATCTGGACATATAATGCACTTTTACATGTTAATCTGTACACGTTGCACACTGACCAGTTGGGTATGAACCCAAAGACAAGGTGTTAACAACACTGTCCATAAAAAAATTCTAGTTTTTAAGGTTATTCGTTAATGATATGGGTTAATGAAACACCTCATTTTTTACAAGTTTTTGGTATATGACAATTGAAACTCAATGATAAGTGCGCATTCTTGTGTTTCTGTCAGAAGGTCTTACTTGGCAAACTGGCACTTTTCAAGAAAGTACCAGCTGTTAGGTTTACAAATGTCAGTAAATTGCAGTGTTAATATTAATTTTGGGTGATGTACTTTTCATATTACTTGCAAAATTTGGAGCCAGATATGAGATATGATATTATGGTATATGGTACCCGTAAGAATGGAAAAACATTTTAATTCAAGAGAAAAATTTATTCATTGAGATAAGTTTTAATGATCTGAATAAAGGCCTATAGAAATGGAAATATAGGTATTGGTAAATATTTTGCCAATATTACTGGTAAAAGTAATTGTCATGATCAAAGTTCTTAATTTGAAAGTGCTGAAATAAAATATAAGTGTCTGTAAGATTTATCACTTGGACACTGTATGTCATCTTGATTTTGCACAGCAATTTATGTGTTGTTTAATATCTTAAGTGGAAAAGGCACTGTTGTGATTAATATAATACATTCAAGATGCCAAATGTTGTAAACTCTGAAATATCAAATACTATAATGAACAATCAGGATTCTTGTTTATTTAAGGCACAGATGAGTGGGAGGCATTAAACATCACAAGTCTTTCAACACCTCCTGATCCACCTGATGTCATGATTCCGCAGGAAAGTAGTGCTACCGATGCAAAATGAGGACTTGAACTTAGACTGTAGGGTTTGCTATGCAGCTGTTGATGTTTTAACTAAAGTGTTTATGAGTGAAATGCTAGCGCTATCATAGTATCATATCTAGCCATCATACAATACAACACTCACTTTATCCCGGGATTTAATTACAAAATAGGCATCCAGTCATTATCCCTAGATCAATGGCTCCATGCATTAAATTTAGAAAGAGATCAGAGACAGGTTGTATAAACTTTTAAGCATTCAGGGTTTAACTTAAAATACACAATTCTGTTTGGCTAATACACCACATTAAGGAATAGACCTTCTGCATTGTAGACTACCTTCAGCTGTGGTGATTTGATTGCGTTTCCATGCATCAATCAAAATGTGGTCTATAATGCAAAAGGTCTAGTGGGTTTTATGGGCCAAGTTGGTTAAAATTATCCTGAAGGTTCTTATTTTGTTTTCTATATTTTTTCTTCCTATACTTTTCTTTTTGTCTTTAGTGCTTATAAATTCTATGGCAATGCCATTTCCTAAACATCTACTTAGTTTTATATAATAGAATCGAAAAAATTCCCAAATTAAACAGGACTATTTCCAACACTTGGAAAATTGTCAAAGTAAATATTTTGCAGATATCACGCGTGCATGATCTACAAGGTTGAAGAAATGCTATTGGCTAGCTTAAGACGCGTGCTGAAATGTGATTGGCTGACAAAATAAAACGAGAGATGACTGTTCAAATTCGTTATAATTACCTGTGACGTGTTCCGTGCGTCTGTCCTCTTAGAGATCATGACTCTCGACCAATGAAGTTACTTGAATTCTTAACGTTATTGTATAAATCATAACTACCAATGCAGAGTTCATTTCCAGAAAAACTATACCAAAAATAGTCTGAATATATATCCTTGTTAAATTTGAATGCATTGATTGCAAGCGAATTGTTATCACATATTGTGAAAAATGCTAACAATTTCTAGTGATGCGCCGATATCTGTATCGGTTTGTTGGTATCGTTAACAATATACCGATCGATAAACTATATTACCGGTGCTATGCAGATGTAAATAACGATATACTTGAATGCAGAGTTCTTGTGACACTCTAAAACACCAGAATCTTGTCTGTACCGAAATACAACAGCACCGGTCTGGCCGTAATTCGCCTTTAATTCCTATAATAAAGTTCTGAATTTGAAAGTGCTGAAACCAAATATAGGTGTGAAAACGATGTATGTGTTGTTTTAAAACATTTCGTAGCAAATAACTTTATATTAGTAGACCAAAAAATTGAGTTTAATTCAGTTGCTATGATGTCTTTGTTGAATGTTTTCAAATCGTATAGAATATTGGATTGGTATCGGCCCGCAAATATTATGTTATCAGAAAAATCGGCGAGTTTTAATTTCGGTGCATCACTAACAATTTCCTAGCAATATTTTAAAGTATGGAATTTTGCAAAGATACATTTTTCGCATTTTACAACTTACAGTTGTCAATTTCGAATTTTTACTAATTTTAGTATGCTTATTCCAGTTGTGGTGGTTTATTTGTGTCACCTATCATACATTGTCACAAGTTAAGGTTAGTTTCCACTCAGGATAATTCCTTCTTGGATCGGACAGGACAGGAAAGATTCCTTTGTATGTAAACGCCGCCTGAGAACTCACCGACAAAGGAAATTTTCCTGTCCGTCCCGATCCAAAGGAGATTTTTTCTGAGTTGAAACTAGCCTTTAGTTGAACATAATTTCCCAGGCTGTGTATTTGTCACAAACAATAGTTAAAAGTTTATACAACCGGTGTAGATAACGCCGTAGAAATAGAACATTTTTTATCTGCAAATGGCCGTGGTCAATGCCGTGGTCAAATGTAAAGACGCATCTTACATAACGTCATGATGAAATATTACATCGTATAAGTATAATACCCATGTTTTGCGCACGATTGGTGGTGTTAGGTATTCGCGTGGTGGAGAGGGGGCATCCCCCTGGGAAGGTGGGGGTAGTTTCCCCATCCCTGACCAGACCTGGGGAATGTTACTTAAATCTTACTTTCCCAAACAAGTACTTAGAGAAAAAAATATAACCGTGCCTAAAGCATGTGTGTTGAAATTTTCTGTTTTATCAGTAAATGATTACAAAGCATATGACGCACGATGATATTTTGTCGTGCGATGCTAATATGGACTGTGTAACAAAAATGTATTAAATGTACCTATATAAAATAAACAGTCTGATTGTTGCGAACTAATTATAAATTCCAATTTACAATTGACTGAAAAGAAAACACGGTTTTGTGTAAAAATATTGCGCCTGAAGTGGCATGAAGTAAAGAAAATGATAATTTGGTTTTGTCTACGATCTAGCTTCTGATTGGTTGATTTTTGTACTGGAATTAGCTTGTTTGCAACTCTGCGTGAATAATATCACAGTTTAAGGATATGATAATATCCAATTCAAAAGAAGCCATGTATAGAGAGCTATATATCTATACCCAAGTGACGGCATGCATAGATACACTTAGTGACATGACTCTTGCCGATCAAAACACTGTATTTGAGTCTGAGAGTCTTCTTGTATTGTATGGTAATAATGGTATTATCTATATACAGCCAATGATTCGCCTCCTGAACAACTAATATGTGATATTTATTTTATCGTTTGACATGCGAACAAGTGTCACAGAATCCCAAAGATTTTGGGGTCTTTTTTTTACAAGAGTATTTTTTTACAATGTTATTTGCAAGGGCCAAGGAGTTGTAGGCTTATGATTGTGGTTCTGGTTTTAAGTTTGGAGTAGGGTCAATTAGTAATTTCAGATTATTACCGCCGGCCGGATTTCGCACAAAATATTTTCGTAATTCTGCAGAAAACAAGAAACAGTATCGCTAATTCACCACGAAGTGCCACGCGTAAATATTGCAATAATCGTATTGATAACTGAGCAATAACAGAATTATCATCGGTTGTCATGGATTATGGATGTTGAATAAATTATATTTACCGGCAAAAAATCAAGGACCGGACGCGTTCTACGTTCACTTCGAGAACAAGGGTCACTGAGTATGGAGTGATTCACGTGCTGAAGTGTTATAATTAGAGTATTGGGACAGTTTACGTTTGGATTGTCACAATAATTTCAAAGATCGTCTTTCTTCATGTTGCTACAAAGGGTGATATTTCGTTTGTCGCACTCGGCGAAGATTTTATCCGCGTTTTCGTCGAATAAAATGCTATCGGTTCTCGCTGCCACGTCGACAGAAGGACAAAGGGTTATATTTCATGGGCCTAACACGGTTTTGGAAACCGAATTTGCCGGTCTGCCAGAACTCAGAGAGGGAGAGATATTAGGGAAGATGAAAGCGGCGACGATATGTGGCTCGGATCTGCATACGATTATAGGAAGAAGGACAGAACCAGTACCAAGGTTTGTCAAAATACGGTGACCTGTCTTTGTTCGTTTGTTGAAAAAATAGCTTTGTTGACATGTATATTCAGTATAAACTCAAAATACAATACATATAGTTCTAGAATTTGTACATGGTTTACAACAAATTGGAATAAACAAGCCCTGGAACCAGGAGATTTATGTAAACAATTTTTTATAAATATTATTGAATACTTGATTTGAATCATCAGGTGGCATTATTACTATAGTCAGTGTTTGCATTGGCAAGCGCTTACCCTGGCTTTATTATTTACGGATATGAAACTTTACTCGTGTGACTATGGAAAATGTTCATTGATAAAAATCAACCTTTATCACTTCTTCCAATTTGTACGGTTCTACAACAAGTTTAATATTTGAAGCAGGTATCCTAGCAAAGTTCACCTTCCTTTTCATTTTTTTTTGCTTTGCAGGTAACTAGTAATGAATATCAAACAGCCATAAAACCAATTAAAATACAAGTTGTTAGTTGAGCTTGAAAACTAGGTCTAAATTTTTCCTGGTTGTGCTTAAAACAACCAGACACAAATCATCAATTTTTGCTGATGTTTGATACTGTTTCTTTAGCATCTTGGGTCATGAAGGTGTTGTGGAAGTTGTTGACCACAAGTGTTCTCATGAAAAGGTGCAAATTGGTGACAGACTGACATTTACAGTTGCTGATTCCTGTCATTCTTGTGAAAGATGTGAAAGTGACTTGACACAGAAATGCTTCTCTCTTTTCAAGGTATATTTGCAGGAATACATGTAATAAAGTTTAAAATCTAAGTGTGTTGAATTCCAAGCAATTAAAGTTTAAGAGCCACAATTGGTGGATAATGTAATGCAGCTTTCATACAACCGTCCTGGAGACAGTAGCATTAGGTGTTTAGGTCATGATGCGGTGTTGATTTTATGAAGAAACAGAGGTTACCGTAATTAACTACTCTTCCTCTTTGAAATTAAATACCTCACAAAAAAGCTTAAAGTAATAGCAGTTACTATGATTGGTCTTTTTCTTCATCTTAGTATTTTTCATTTTAAGTATGGTCATGCAGATATGTCAAGTGGAACTGGTTGGAATGGCTGCTATGCAACACATATTGTTTTACGCAAGGGGACCCACATTGTGAAGCTGCCTGACAATGTAGATGACAAGATTGGAGCGACTCTAAATTGTGCGTTCGCATCCATGACAAATGCTGTAGAGCCATTGATGGATTTACATAATTTGGAAAAAAAACGAGAAGCAAACAAAAAGAAGTCTGTCTTGGTGCAGGTTTGTAACATAGTTATTTCTAAAAGCCCAACTAAGGTTCTTTCTCTTAATTTGACAAGATGTACCCCCGGTACTGAAAAAAAGTACTTTGTACAACTTTAGTTTGTGTAGAATCTGCCCCATTTGCATCTGGTTTGGGAAGGGGTGCTAAAATTAGTTGCTTTAAAGCCATTTCCATAAAGTATTGGTGACCCATTGAAATGTCTATGATATATTATATTATAGTCCTGTATTATTGACTTATAAGCTCAACCTTTTTGGCAGAATGAGTTGTGCATGCATATGCATGTATTGTAGTACTTCAACTATAGTGAAGGTGAGTTTTGATGCAATTTTAGTTTATAATTATTCACTTAATATTTCATTGCAGGGTGCAGGACTTCTTGGCATCTTCAGTTGTGCTTTATTTCGGGAGGCTGGGTATGAAAAGATTTATTGTTATGATGTTCACACAGAAAGATTGAAGATGGCTGAGAAATTTGGAGCTGTGTCCCTTAATGGTGGTGGGTGAAGGTCTTGTTTTACAACACACTTATTCTGGGACAACTCTAGATCATATTTAAAAATGCTGTTGAATTTTACCCAGAGAAAATTTTGGCAGATTTTGTAACTGCACTTTATCATGGCTTTTTTAGCCAATCAGGAAGAGGAGAAACTTCAGGACAATAGTATAGATACTGTGATGGAGGTAAGCAATTTGGTCCACTGAACGCTAGTGTGGTAACTGGAATAATAACCCAGGAAAAGATTATATAGCTTTTCTGACAAAACTGATCTATCATGTGCCTGGAGTCATTTGTCCCAGTCCTTCCAACTATTAGTATAAAAAGCACATTTTAAAAGTACAGCCACTTCTGTCCATTTTCATTCTCTATATTCGTAGTTTACCGCTCAGCTTGTCCATTATTTTAAAGAAGCAGGTTTTTCTGGCTTTGGTTTTTTCTGAGCATTCATGTCACTAATTTTCTGTTCCCCTTGTTATTTTAGGTCAGCGGTGTAAAGAACGTCTTTCCCAAAGGCATGCGTGTCATCAAGCCTGGTGGATTCTATACATTTGTTGGCCTGGTCCATCCGGACTCAAAACTTGAACTTACAGCTGAACAAATTATTAGGAAGTGTTTGACTATTAGAGGTATGGGATTGTTTATTCACTACAAGATTTTCTTCACTCAAGAAAGAATCCCAAGGGTTTGGACCAGGCCATCCAAATACGGAAACTATGAAGTGAACCAAGAAACCAACAAAATAGTTTAACAAATTTTATTTCAATAAGCGAGTGTTTCGATGGCTTGATCAAGACACGGACTTCGACCAATCAGAACACGCGTTATATACATGTCATTTTATAATTCTTTATCTATGCTGCTCGAATGAACTAAGCACGCTTTAACGCTTCGTGATGCCCTTAGGCCTCTTTCACGCGTCCAATTTCTGCTGAGACTTTCGGAGCGCTATCCTTCTTTTGATGGATGTGAACGAGTTGATCATTATGAATATTATGTGTACGTGCCTTGATCCAAACTTTGCCGCGGTCAAGCGAATCTCTATCACTCCAGGATAGAAAATATAAAAGTTCGTAAAAGAAAGTTTACCAACACGTTATTTCCAATACGGAAATAGAATATAAAAAGCCAAATTTTCAGTTTATATGCACTTTATGCTGTTGTCAGCCATCTCTTTGAAAATTATGTTATTTTGCTCAATACAGGCATTCATAATTATGGTCCAAGGCATTTGGAACAAGCCGTGGATTTCCTGAGCGATACGGTCGATAAATATCCTTACGACGAACTTGTCAGCCCATCTTTTGACCTCGACCAGATAAACGAGGCGGTCAAGTTAGCCTTGAGTAAAAAATATCTTCGTGTTTGTGTGGAACCTGGTGTAGGTAAACTAGCGAACTAGATATGCGTTTCAAAACGATTCAATCCAGTCAAATTAACAATTTTACATCCTTAAATTTAGGTAGTTTCAAAGTTATATTTGCCAAATAATGAATATTATTTGAACCCTATATATATATCAAAATGTTAAAGAAAATTTTGAAAAGTTATCTTAAACTCGCTTAATTTTACTTAGAACATCCCAAATTTAGTGAACTCGCAAAGTTTGGTAGCGAAATATTGTGAGAATGATATAAAATTTGCTTTTCTAACGCTGTAAATTTTGTAAATGTGCATACGTCCTCGAGTTAATTGATTTATTGATTGATTTAATTGATTTTATTGAGAAGGGTATAAATTTTCCCGCGCAAACTATACAAAAGCTTTTCGTTGCTCAACTTAGCGAATTTACTTAGTGAATTTGCGATGCTCATTCGAGCTGCGGTAAATTAGACCAGTTTAAGATACCTTTTTACGGCGTTCACACTGGAAATTTTTTTTTAAATGCCTACTATGGACATTTCAATTAGTATGGTCATTGTATACTCTTTCCATACTATATCCATAGTATGAAAATGGTAATTAGTATGGATATTGTAAACTTCCATACTATCTCCAACTAGCATCCATACTGTATCCCATTACATGGATTTTGAAATAAATTTCGAGTGTCAGGTGCAGATTTATTATGGTAATTGCACGAAGTGGAGTGCTATTGGTGTGGAATTAAATGTTTGGTTACAAAATCGCACGAACGCGCGAAGCAGCAGTGCGATTTACAATCACATGTTCGCTTTCATACGAAATTGCACGCGATACGAAGTGCAATTACGACTTCATTACATTCATTTTGAAACCTTACACAAATTTATGAACCAAAACAGATGCGTTCAAAAATTAAAAATTTTGCCAAGCGGAAGATGACTTTGATAATTTCTTTCTACAATCCTCGACGATATTCAATTATTACATGATTTAATAATATGATAATGCAGTACCGTCAGTGGCAGACAATAGAGTGGGGGATAGGGGACAGTCGCCCCCCCCCTCAATAATTTTTATCATTTTTTCTAAGCACTGAAGAAGCTGGCAAGTTAGCATGTATCAATTAGATTAGTCTTTCGATTCTCACTCTGGAAAAAAATACCGGTAATTCTTGTGTTTTTCACCCCAGCGAATTGGACCATTGTTTATGTCAGCACAGTTGATTATCTGATCAACAAAAACATTTAAAAGAGACTTGCACTAGTCCTCAATTTAGCTTCAAGTTCGCCATGTTGGCTTCAAAAATGGCTACCAATTACAAATTTCCTTTATTCGTTCCGATCTAAATAATTTCCATTGGTCAACTGTTAGTCTTCCGTCTTTCAGCGACATCGAAAGCAACAACGTTTTGTGAGGCCGTCACCAAGTGAATCACGCTGATCAATTGTTTTAGGAAAAATATCGGGAAATTGACGTAGGCAACTAATGACCACAAACCAACTGGAACGTCGTTCACAGTAAAAACTAAGATTAGATAAACGGAATGATATTAAAAAACAGCACCCATCCCTATGCACGCTCATCTCTGCTCCCACCTCCATGCACCCTCCCCTTTGTACCCGCTTTCGTGTCTAACTGAACTATGTATTCCCAAAACTGAACTATGTATTTCCTTTTTTTATTTCCTCACGGAGCTTAATTCTGTTTACATGACGGGCAGAGGGGGACGTATTTCGGGCTCATTTGGGTATGCACATGAACACAAAATGGAATTGTACATACAAGACTAAACACAGCATGATAAGTGGATGTCGTAAATTATTGAGCATACACTACCGTCACAACCAGGAACTTAATCAGGATGTGTTGGAAGATGTAAAAAAATATGATTGCTCATGTCAATAGCCATGCACCTCCTCCATGCACTCCTCTTTATACCCACCACTATGCACATTCCTCTCCACCAACATGCACCCTACACTATGTACCCACTCCTATGCATGCTCCACTCTGCACCTCAACGCACCCTCCTCTTTATACCCACCTCTATGCACATTCCTCTCCTCCCGCATGCACCCTACACTATGTACCCACCCCTATGCACGCTACACTCTGCACCTCAACGCACCCTCCTCTTTATACCCACCTCTATGCACATTCCTCTCCTCCCGCATGCACCCTATGTTTTGTATGAAACCCCTATAGCACGCTCCACTCTGGACCACCTCCATTTGCCCTGTTTGTACCCGCCTCCATGTTCCTACCTCTATACACCTTTCTCTGTCTATAACCACCTTCCTGCGTTCCCCTCTCTGCGTCCCCAGCCCCTAGACCACCCGTGTATGCGTTGTTATCATACCGTTACCTGTTGGCCCGTATGAAAAGTGAATGAAGTACAACGCGACAAAAAACAGTTCGTTTCCCATACACATGATGAACAGAAAAGTCTGAAACATACAAACCACGTATCATGACATGAAAAACTTGCAGGCCCAAACATTATTTGTAACGTTTGCTGGCATGGTAGGCAAGATAGCGTGTGAAAATTATCAACTACTCTGATATTTTGGAAATACACGAAACGTACCCAGGAGGAGTAGTACAGACGAAGAAAGAAGTTTGTTGTGATCTTGTGGCTTTCGTCACCTTTTATCAGCGAGCTATAGAGAAAAAAATAGTTTACTGGGCACTTGCTCAGCATGATCTATGATGAACCAGTTTTGACTTTGGGCACCCGTACCGGGCACTCTATCTGAATGCATGCAGCCTAAGATTAGCATATTTCATTGAATATACCAATCTAATCTTTCATTGAACCTGTTTTGTGCCGGGCGTTTTTGTCTAAATACCCAACTGAAGGCTAGTTTCCACTCAGGAAAATTCTCCTCTGGACCGGACAGGACAGGTTTCCTTTGTTAGACGCCGCCTGAGAACTCGCCGACAAAGGAAATTTTCCGTCCGTCTTTCCTGAGTGGAAACTAGCCTTGACACCCTAGTTACTTCATCTATCAGATCGGTGGCTTCTATTAATTGACACCTCAGAATAACACATAAGTTAAGTTACACGGCTTACCTGTACATGTGTAACCAGTGACTGCTGATGTCCAGTGAAATGAGAAACTGGAAGACAACGCGATACGAGGGAAGGAACTCGCTCAACATCACCATAAGACACGTTGTTGCACACCTTTGGAAAATTGTGAGAATCATTTTTCTAGCGTTTAATACACCGAGAGCATCCAGTACGAGAGCCGAGGGATTATTTCGGGGCCAATTGCATGGACCGGGCTAGCCCGCCTTTAGTCTTTACCGGACTGGCCCGTTATAATAATTATTATAGTCAATTTAGGGGCTGTTTACATGAGCCCGGTTACCCGAGATTCAACGAAGCGTGAGAGGACTTTGAGGTATTAAAATAAGTCTTTATGACACAAAGCAAGCACATGTTATTGTTGTGGCGATTACACGACTGCTAAGATCATGTTATCTGCTCATTGTAATACCTTAAAATCATCGCATTTGCGTTGAATCTCGGGTAACCGGGCTCATGTAAACAGCCCCTAAAACGTTTCGATTACATGCAACCCGCGGCCAGCTCGGCAAACCCTAATGTAATCGGCCCGTTCACACGATCTAACTTTGTCGGATCCAATTCACTTCTGCCGTATGGAATAGTGTAGTTTGTTATTGATAAAGCAGTGCATGCCCCGTTTACACTACACCTGATTTATTGGCACGGCATTGAGTGTTGTGTAAACGGGGGGGCGTTAGGCGTTTGCATGCTGTCCAATATGCATTGCAAGTCAACAGGCTATAAAACATCCATCAGAAGTGTATTGGATCCGACAAAGTTGGTCGTGCGAACAGAGCTTTGAAGTACTTTTGAAGTTTGAACTATACTATGTGCATGAATTCAAACGTCGCATTTTAGTCGCGTCGAATGCAATTCAAACAATAGATAATGAGATGCTGCTGAGGTTTATCATCTAATTATCTATTGTTTAAATTGCATTCGACGCGAACAAAATATGGCGTATGGATAACATAGGCCAAAAACGTATTTTCAAATCCCAGAAGTATAATCAATTGCATTGGCATTTCAATGGAAATGCTGTTTGCAGCATCTACTAGCTTATGCAAATTATAGTTTTGTACTTTGAGAAAAAGTGCTTTTCGACACTGGAGAATATAGCTTTCATTAGCTCCGAAATAAGTGAGAATGTGTGGTCACAACTCACAAGTTTGAGGACTTGTTTACCGAGCAACATAGCTCGTTCAGGACATTCGACGGACGAGAAAGTACAAATATTGTGCAATCCAACGAAAAGAAGTGAAGTGCATTAGCGGGCCTCGAGCGGGACAATAGTCTTCATATATTTAATAATGTTTTGATCCAGATACTGGAAAGCGTTTCCTAAATATTCGCAGAGTGTATACTATAGGTGTGATTTGGGGAGTCTATTTGAAGCTATCAGAGTTGATCGAGACCCGTGTGTGTATGTCTATATCACGAGACACGGTTAAGGGAGAAACGCCTTTAGAGCGATCTAATGTAAGTACAACACAGTTCATGTTTTGACCTTTGCCTGGGGGCAGGAATTTATTTTTTGTTCACATCTGCCTGAGAACTCGTTTTAGTTTGAGTGTAGCATTTAAAGAGTTAATGTTGGTATATATAGCTACTGAATGGACGACTTGCGCTTTAGACTAATTTTTGATCGAAGTAACTAGAAGAAAATAAATCATCACAGCTAGAAAGATCTTACTTAAATTAGTGCAAATGCAAAGTTTGGCTGCGAAATGTTTTAAAATACGGAAAATATAGCCACGCGAAGTTGGCAAATTTTGTATACTTTTGTATTTATACGACCGGAAGTGTGTAACTAATTTAGTTACACATTTCCGCACGTAATACAAAGGTATACAAAAATCGACAACTTCGCATGGCTATATTTTCCGTATTTTACAAAATTTCGCAGCCAAACTTTGCATTTGCACTAACTTAAGTAAGATCTTTCAGAAAATGTCCTTTTTATCGCCGAGGTAAGAAATTAGTCTAAAGCGCAAGTCGTCCATTATAATACGCCAATGTTATTGATGGCCCTTTGATTAATTTGTCTTAGGCCTAGGTTAAACTTCACATTTTGGTCGGTTCGAATGCAATTCAAACAATAGATAATGAGATGATAATGAGGCGTAATGAGTTTTATCATCTCATTATCTATTGTTTGAATTGCATTCGAAGCGACCAAAATGCGACGTTTAACCAAGGCCTTAAAAATCTCGTGATTCGGTGCGTTGAAAATACCAGTTAGAGAATTAGATATAAAGACTAACCTGTCTGTAAGCATGTCCAACATTGCTCCAAATTTTGATACTAAATAGCAAAAAATATGACGTTAATTGTTTTCACAACAACATCGTATGAGCAACGATATGCGGATTTTGTCACAAAAAATCAAATTTCGTACCCTGGCCTAGGCGACGAGCAAAATATCCATCAAATTGATCCAGAAAAGCACTGAGCAGATAACATGTTGCAAATATTACTGGACTAACGGCCATGTAGTAGAATGACAGAATGGCAAGAAATATACGAACGTAGCCTAAAAAAGTAGGAAAGTCACAAGGGGGGCCCGCGGGAGGAGGGGGCAATTTGTCCCATAACCCAGGTTGGCAGGGTCGCCAAAGTACCACGGGAATAGCATTAAACTATCACCCGAAAAAGTTTGTCCTTTAAAAATATGCATATTTTTTCCTCGCCCTCCATGACACAGCTAACCTATGCCTAATAACCTAATATCATTTAATACATAAGAGATGCCTGCGGAGAAGGCTAATTATTGCTATGACTATGTGTTTATAAAGCCGCGTTAACACTCTGGCCTGGACCAGGTCTGAAAGCCAAGATACAATACAAAATACTTGGAAAAGACGCCGAAAGGTGCATGGTGATACTAGAATTTATTCTATAAAGTTAATCCTCAAAATTTGAAAATTGAACAGTGCATGCATATGATTAAGATAAGGATTGGGAAAATTACATTAGTATTGTAAGCGAGGAGTAGGAATATGAAATAAAACTTTAATAGAAAATACATCGATATAAATCATCGAATTACGACATTTGGCAACAAGAAAAGAAGAATGCCACCGCCTGAACCACAAACGGAGGCTACAACGTCTCAGCAAAACGAAAGCAGTCCAGAATTACAGGCGATTCAGCAAGCAATTGGTTCGTTGAACACGGGAGCCCCTCGAAGCGGCTTACCACCTCTTTCACCGCTTGACCCCAACAAAGACCGCACCTGTTTTAGCCCATTATGATCTGAACGCACCAACCAAGCTGGTAGTTGATGCTTCTCCTTGGGCAGTTGGAGCCATACTCCTACAACAACAACCCGACACCAACTACCGTCCAGTCGTTTATGGAAGTCGTTCACTCACCACCACGGAAGTCAAGTACGTATGGTCACATCGAAAAGGAAGCTCTCGCACTCGTATTCGGGTGTGAACATTTTCACATGTACCCATTTGGCAGAAAATTTGAGCTTGAAACTGACCATAAACCCCTTGAATACATCTTCCAGCCAAAATCAAGTAAACCACCTCCAGCTCGTATCGAGAGATGGCAACTTCGATTGCACCGTCCAGGTCCTCAAAACCTAGCAGATTCCCTATCAAGATTGACACCAAAACAACCACCATCAAAGCGCGACAACAGTGCCGACAGACATGTTAACCGGAACTGCAGCTTGTTCGAAAATGCATCGCTGAAAATACCCCATACAAACTCCCCAGTAGTTTTAAAGGCGTAGCTAGCGAGCTATGTGTGGCAAACGACATCGTTCTCCGTGGAACTTGAATAGTTCTTCCAAACGAATTGCGCACGAAAGCCATCACAGCAGCTCACGAGGATCACGCAGGAATCACCCGTTGCAAACATCGACTCAGATCAAAGTTATGGTGGCCTGGTATGGATAAAGACGTAGAGGCACTCGTTAAACGCTGTAACCCTTGTCAATTAACTGGCCAACCAACCCAACCAACCCCACTCAATTGCAACTCGACTCCACTACCGAGTGGCCCCTGGGAATATCTAGCCCTCGACATCTGTGGTCCATTCCCAACCGGAGACTATGCATTAGTCTTGATCGATTACTACTCTCGATGGGTCGAAGTATAGAAGTTGTTACGACCACCACATCAGCAAGAATCCTCAAATGGTTAGATTCTGTGTTTGCCACTCACGGTTATCCCACCACACTGCAAACCGATAATGCGACCTACTTCAAGTGGCGTAGCCAGTCTGACGATTTAGTCATGCTATGCAAATTTTATGTTATTATCATTATTCATTTCTTTAGAAATTCATTGTTTTCACAGTCAATGAACAGCAATTGCAAACTATTAGCATAGCATGACTAAATTGTCGGGCTGGCTACGCCACTGCGCTACTTCACCTCTGTGGAATTCAGAAATACCCTCAAGGATTGGGGAATCAAACCACGTACAGTCACTGAATACTGGCCCCAGGCGAATGGATTGGTGGAATGATTCAACCAGATCCTTCTGAAGTTTATCCAAACCGCCTTAGTTGAAGGAAAGAATTGAAAAGGAATCCATTCCAATAATGCTTCCAAACTATCGCACAACCCCCCATTGCACAACAGGGAAAACACCAGCATTACTTCTAATGGACCGAGAGTTGCGAACCAGGATACCTAGTATCCAACAACCACCCAGCAACCCACTTGCCAGTGAGATCAAGAAAACTGATGCAGATTCAAAACGGAAGTCCAAATTGCTAGCTGACAAGAAAAGAAGCGCCAAACCTCATTAATTTAAGAAAGGCGAATTGGTCGTATTAAAACAACCGCATATCAATAAATTTTCAACAACGTTCAACCCGGACCCTCTCACAATAATCAGCATCAACGGCTCTCAGATTGTTATGCGAAGCAAAACCGGACAAATCTATCGCCGAAATTCATCCCATGTGAAAGAGTTTAATCAACCAAACGCGCCAACCGCAGAACACATCAACGATGAAGACTTAGAAGATCTCATACCACCCTACAATTCATCTGGTGATAAACAAGAAACCCCACCGCAACCTTTACCACTAAACCCACCAGACCCACCTTTAAGAAGATCCAGCAGACACAGGGAAACCGCCTAGCTACTTCCAGCAAGGATAGACGGATGAAGAAAAATTTAGTCAGTGACGTTTACACTCGTTAACATCTAACAATTGATATTTTTTGAAAGTGAAACTTTCCCAAAAAGGGGAGGATGTCGTGATTGTGACAATTAATTATATTTAGAAATGACGGACACGTGAACAGTGCATGCATATGATTAAGATAAGGATTGGGAAAATTACATTAGTATTGTAAGCGAGGAGTAGGAATATGAAATAAAACTTTAATAGAAAATACATCGATATAAATCACCGAATTACGACAGCCACCTCTTCTGTAGGTCTAGATTTTGTGGCCTGCCCCAGGCCTCGTCTACAGGCCAGACAAACAACGTTCACATCTTGGCCTAGACATGGTCCATGTCAGCTCAAAGCACGTGGTGTAAACGCGGCTTTAGGTATGCTATCCCCTAATCCACAATCTTGTAATATTATCCATCTCTGCTTAGTTTATAAGGATAGTCTATCTTGGTCCAGACGAGGGACTTTCTCATTAAAATCAATTACATATAATATAAGAGTCCGAGTCATTAATATTGATTAGTATTTATTAATATTATGTGAACTTTCCATTCGTATTTTGTGATTTGTGAATTCCAATTTCTTTATTTTCTTCAATATTTGTAATTCAAACACGCCATTTTTTACATGCATTGGAATATTTTTATTGCGGCACTTACCTATCAAATTTGGAACGAACAAAAATACGTTTTCGGCCATTTTGCCAAGCAGCCAAAGTCCTCAGCAGATAAATTCAATAAACTCTCAGTCTCAGCAGTAGAAAATATCGTGCAATGAGGTGAATATCGTGCAATTCTCTTCGAAGAATATCGTGCAATGAGGTGATCACGATTATCGGTTGAGTTACGGAGTACAATTGCATGCTCATTATGGAGGACGTTATATCTTTTCGAAAACCTATTCAATTATGTAATTATTCATAGCGAGTGTGTTAGTTGTTTTGTGTTTATTTTGTTAAAGAAAGACAGAGTCAAAGTCTATGCATGAGCAATTATCCCATGGTGCTTGAGGCAAATCTCGAGGGGGGGGGGGAAGGTATAAGAGAGTCGTATAGCTGCCTTCCAAGTTTTCTCACAACATTTTCGAGAGTATTACGGCACGATGTATGATATATCATATATTTTTGTCTATATTGTTAATAAGAGTTTATATCTTCATGGGCGTAAAAAAGAGGTTCTTTTTGATTGATATGGCGAGATCAGCGTGCCTTATTTGTCATGAAAAAGCACAAAAAACGCACTCGATTTTGAAGACAACCATAATCTGACAGTCATGCAATGCAGCACCCTGGGGCCGGTTGTATCAAGCCCGTTTAGCTTAAACGGTGGATAAGTACCTTAATACAAAGATACTGTTTACCACTACATATTCAGTGCATAATATTCAAGTTGACTCGTTTAAGAGAGATGTAAGAGTGTTATTTAATTTTGACTTATCCACCGTTGAAGCTAAACGGGCTTGATACAAATGGCTTGCCAGATATTTTTTTCATGTATGGTTTGAAGATTGGTTTCTTTGTTTCTTAGGTATGTCTGAACTTCTCATCTGGTATTGGTTTTCGGTTTTCCATGCAGTACAAATTTTCCCACGTACCAATAATTTCGGCAGTTGAAATTGTTTAATTTCGGGTTGAAATTGCCACACTTCTCGTATAAAATCTGTTTTTGCGTTTAAGCAGAAATTAAAGAAATTAAATTTACTCGAAAACGACGTGTATGTACACCGTACCAGCAAGCATGCAGAAGAAAATATGCAAACCAACAAAACTGTATATGTTTTCTTGTATATAACTGTCTATTATGTTAGATTAATCAACATCCAACGAAGAATAATAACAAGAGGAAATACATGCAATGATCCTAAAAGCTATTAACACCTTCAAGACCTCATGCAAATCAAGAGTTTTTAGTTCGTTGCCCAAAACAAATTTCTCTCACTGTTTGAATATCAGCACATGCCGTCCAGTGACCGGAGCAGTGGAATTTCAACTTTTTCTTGCAAGTTCATCAGCTTAACAACTATAAAATGTAAGAAAATGATTATATCAGTTGGTGAATTAGTTTCTGACGAATATTTTGAGTGCAGCGGAGGCCTGGGAAGCATACTAAACGGGCATGATGAAAAAGAAAAACAAAATAACTTCACGTCAAAGGTGGCATAACAACGTATAAGATCTACGACGTCAATCACGACGAAATAGCTAGGGTAAAATGATGGGTAAATTGGATATATGAAGTACCTTTGCGGTCTCAGATAGCGTACTCGCTGTTTACGTCTTTGCGACGCGGTAAATCGCAGATTTCCTGGAGCTGGTTGTATAAAACTCTTCAACTACATTTCGCATGGTTAAATCCTAGTTAACTCGAAAATACACACGACTCTGATTAGCCAATTCTGTCCTTAACCACAGGTAAAAGTTAACTAGTCCTTTATACAACTGACATCAGAGGCCGGTTGTACGAAAGGTGGATAAGTCGCTATCCAACGGATAAGTCGCTATCCAACGGATAACTTTTATCCAGCGTGAAATTTGCGTTGCACGAAGCTTGGATAAATTTATCCAACGGATAAAAACCCCTATCCGTTGGATAAAGTTATCCAAGGTCCGGAGGTAGTTTAAATCCACTATCCAGTGGATAAACTCGAAGATACAAGATAAAACTGTAAACATTTACGATGAAAAAGGACAAAAAAGCAAGTTTCCTATTACTGTGTTTCAACAAACTAATGTACATGATTGTACTCACTATTAAAACTGTTTTCGAAGTGAAATCCAGCCATTGTTATATTTGTCGCAGCAGCATTTCATTTTGTTTACACATTCCGTTCCGAGCGGCGTTTTTCTGGACATCCTCACAATGATAACAGGCGGTAAATTTATTATATACTTCTAACCAGTTTATAAAAGCGAATATGCAAAGAAAATTAAACCTATTCCATGGAAACTTGCTAATATCTAAGCAATTTCAATCACGTAATAGACAAGTAAAGACAACAAGGCTACGAATTTTGTTCTTCGCTATGATTAGCCAATCAAAACGTTAAAATAGTGTTCCTAAATTTATTATGGACCGAAGGGCAAAGCCGGCCTCGCAAGGTCAAGGAATAAAATTGCAATGTGTTGAATAAAATCGCTAGTATGTGAAGTGCAAATCACTTAATCAGTAACTAATCGACAATTCAGAATGATTCAATGTTATAAATGCTTAGCAACAGCTGACGTTGTGGTACGAAATTTCAGGATAATCCTGTTTTCTCCGGGTAATTTTTAACTTATCCATTGGATAGCTATCCACTCCACTATCCACGCTTCGTGCAACACGATTTTATCCAATGGATAACTATCCACTGGATAGCATATTTATCCGTTGGATAGGACTTATCCGTTGGATAAGTTATCCACCTTTCGTACAACCGGCCCCAGGTCTCAAGTCTGACGCCAGCATTTAAAGCCTTAGAAGATGCAACTTAATCCAAGTCCGGCTTAGTAAAATTTCTCCCATTCATAAAAAATGATGTATTTAACTTTATCATTGCACTTAAATCATCATTGATAATATTCGGAAAGTTTTCTTTTCGACCATTAATTTAAAATATTTTTTAGCCGTCGTCGTCGCGTCGCCGTCCTAAATCTTAAATTCGCTAAAAACACCTCTTGCCATCCGTCAGGAGAGTTCAATTAATCAAAAACTTTCTTTAACCACGGTAAAATCTATGACGAAAGACCTTAGGTGGAACGTCGATAGGTTTTTATGTCTACTTTATAACTGCTCTTATACAACGTTTAACAAAGGATTAAATTAAATTTAATACATCCAGGAAGAAATTCGTTAATCTTATTTTCATTACCTCGTCAACTGCTTGATCGGTTAGTCAACTGTTAGTCTTCCGTCTTTCAGCAACATCGTAAGCAACAACGTCTTGTGAGGCCGTCACCAAGTGAATCACGCTGATCAATTGTTTCAGGAAAAATATCGGGAAATTCACGTAGGCAACTAATGACCACAAACCAACTGGAACCTCGTTCACAGTAAAAACTAAAAATTCGATAAACATGATGTCGTTACGAACAGCATTGTACATCGTGTCAAGCAGTGTTAGTTATAGAAAAAGTCTAAACAGTCATGTTCCCGTTATTAAGCAACCCCCTCCCCGCCGCCGGGAGCTTGATAACTGTCTCCACACTCTTTTGACAGCGGGAAATATCGTCTATCTACTTAGATATCAACATATACAGAAGGAAGAACTGTTAATCACCTTAGCCAAGTTTCCATGCAATGTCTTAATCGACTTACGTATTAAATATGTACTGTATTGGTGTGTCTGATGAAGTTGCAATATATGGTACGTATGTATGTATGTTGCAGGATGGTATATTATATTAACAATGAATGTTTATGAGTGCAATGGCAAGAATGTTTTCAACAAGGTGAAAGATGGAATGGTTAATTCAACGAGGCAAACGCCTGTATTCTAAAAAGCTTACTCGCACTCAAACTCATTAAATGGGAGACCTCAATCTTCCTATAACTTTTCAATTGCGGTATTTTCAGTTAAACAATAGCTTGATTTTCAATGTTTTACCTTATATCTACTCATTGACTAAGAAAAAACAGTGTGAGTGTGAGTGAGCTTTTTAAATACAGGCGAAAGTCGAGTGCAATGGCACATTTCCTCTTTCACCGAGTGAAAATATTCTTTCCATTGCAGGGATGAAAACATTCATTATTTGTTTTATTTCACGCCAAGAAACACCAACAAAGATCTAATGTAATTAATGTACTATCAAGTTTATTAAAAGTAAGAGTTTGTGTTTATAAATCCCATACGCATATTATATATTCGGATTCGTGACCAGATGCGCGCGAGCACCCCTGGTTGCCTATTTCATCCGGTTGTTCATAAACATACCTGTTGGCCCGTATGAAAAGTGAATGAAGTACAATGCGACAAAAAACAGTTCGTTTCCCATACACATGATGAACAGAACAGTCTGAAACACAAAAACAACGGATTAATCTCTTACGCCCAGTCCACACCGCACGCCAATTTTTCTGTCTTGGCGGTAAAAAGGAAACCAACTTCGCATGGCTACAATATATTCTCCGGAATTTGCAACATTTGCAAACTAAACTTTGTAATAATACTAATTAGTAGGCTCTTTCAAGCTGTGGTAATATATACCCTTTATCTCGGAACTAAAATCAGTCTATAGCGCATAAGGTCCATTGAAATTTTCCGCTACTGAAGTCGTAAATATTAAAGGATCGTAAAAATATATAAATTCTCAAAAATTGCATTACTCTTTTAGCCAAGTGCAGTCTTGACAGCCTGATTTTCACACTATTGGATTTTCACTCTGCGAAAAAGCAATACTGGTAAAAAATTTCTTCCCCAGTTGTGGATGAAAATATAAGTCCACGATATATCCACCACTGAATACCAACAATTTTTTCAGTTTTTTAATCACACTTGTGGCGGTCAGTTTTGCGTGGTTTGCGAAACGTCCGGGCTGGTACCTGCCTGGTACCGTAGACGATGGCACGAAACCTACCCTGGAAGTGTAGTAAAGTCGAAGGAAGAAGTTTGTGGACGTTTTGTGGCTTTGATCGCCTTTTATCAGCGAGCTGGAAAAGAGAAAAAGATCTGCTGATTTATCCGACCTATAAAAAACGATCCGTCCTACGATTTATAGACAGTGGTAACTACATTTTGCGAATGATTATATACCAAGCAACCGTTTAGACAAACTTGGGCAAAGAAAAAATAAGTTGGTTAGCTATTTTTTCATTAGTGACTTTATCTCCAACGTGGACGTGAAGTAATAGTGCTGTTATTTTTACACTTTTACAACAGGGATAAAGTAAACAGATCATCAGTAAACAGAATGAGAGACATATTTCAACAATTTAAAACTGGGTTCCTGAAAACAGCGGCTGTTTTCATGTCACGTTGTAGCTATAAACGAAACGAAGGTCTGTGTTTAGGCTAGTGCGTAAACTCGCCTTGTGTAAACGCAAGCAAAAAGACGAATATTCAATCAAGACGAACAGACTCCTTTAGAATAGAAATCGTCCCAATGTCAGTGGGCAATACGCTTACGGTTAATAGTCCTTTCTTAATAATGACGTCAAACGCGGAAAGTTTGATGTTACACGAAATTTGATTGGTTCCACAAAACTATCGAGCAAATATGAAACTTTGTGTAACATCAGACTTTCCGCGTTTGAAGTCATTATGAAAAAGGTCGATGAAACAATGCGTTAAAACAACGGTGCAGGCATTTTCAGGGGTTACAAGGCTTACCTGTACATGTGTAACCAGTGACTGCTGATGTCCAGTGAAATGAGAAACTGAAAGACAACGCGATACGAGGGAAAGAACTCGCTCAACATCACCATAAGACACGTTGTTGCACACCTTTGGAATAGATAAATAAACTAATTAGAATGCAAGCGCGAAGTGTTCTAACAAGTTTGGAACGTTTGCGATGTAACTATATTGTTACAATCTTGCGGTGTTCCACATTATTGTTACACCTGGTTGCATGTCAGCGTATATCATAGTTGCAGTATGATTATTGTGAGCTGTACACAATTCAACCCTTTGAGATGCAACGTTTAATTTTCACTGATCATTTCTCTATTCATCAAATGTAAACCCAAGGAAATCTCGAGAATCGAAAGCAAGTATGGTAAAAAACCCACTTGTCTACACATTGTTGTGAAAATAGTAGGGTAATTTATCGGTTTATACTAAGTAAACTGCAGCCTAAAACAGATTTCGTAACAGTCAAACTGTTTTAATCCGCGAAAATTTATCAGCAATAGGGTCCTTTCGCATAAAGACGTAAAACACGGAGTGCGTGGTGTGATGTTACCAGACGTATGTTTGAGTGGCTCCGCGAGATTAATGAGCCAATCAAACTTTGTATAAGATCAGATACCTGGATTATGGATGGTGTTTTAAGAACTTTCAACCCTTTGCGTTGTTTTAAAATTTTAAATCTAACAAGTTTTTTGAACATGAACAGTATATGAATGTTGTTTCAATTGTGAATGTTGAACCTGAATTCTAACATCCTTCTTACATATATCATTGCTGATTGCATTGGACTTGGTAGAACAATGTTGTTGCATGATAAAATCAGGAGCATGGAGTCATGGAGGGCACCTGAACTTGCTGCACTGGTTGGCAATATAGATCATAATGTCTTCGTTCTGGCATCCATCGAGTTTGGAGATTATATTTTTAGTAAAAGGCACTGAATAAACTACTGTGCAGCCACTAAACTATCAGCGAAGTACCATACAAAACTATTGAGTGAACATCAAGAGCAATTTAATAATATAAATGATTATAGGTATACAAATACTCCTAACCTGTCTGTAAGCATGTCCAACATTGCTCCAAACTTTGATGCTAAATTGTTAAAATACCATTTGGAATTAGTTATACATTAAGGACAATATGATACAGAACTGTCTACCTTGGCGATTAAAATCACATTTCTTACCCTGGCCTAGAAGACGAGCAAAATGTCCGTCAAAGGCATCCAGAAAACTACTGAGCAGATAACATATTGTAAATGTTACTGGACTATCAGCCATGTAGTAAAATGACACAAACGCTAGGATGATACGACCATAGCCTAACAAAAGAAGGGAAATTGCTATGTTAATTGCAATATACCTACAAACAATGTATAATTTTATGGGTTAAAACAATCTAAAATTTATAGAACATGGACTTTTTATTAAATTTAACAAACATTTTATTTTATTGCTAGTTAAAAAATAGAAACATAAAGAGGAGAAGTATGGGTGAGTTAACAAGTGTTCTTTTTTGAGAAGTTTGGAAGAAGTTTTTTGATATATACGCAGATCAGTTGATTAAAGGTCTTTTTTATTGTTGTCTGCAATGAAAATATTTGAAGAACTACACACAAGTCACAACCAGCACTTACGTGTGGCCACATAGGAAACATAGTTCACACAAGTTTAAGTTTTGCTCAAACTCAGTTTAATTAACTGTCCAGTCTGTCCTGCATGAACATGCCGGGTTCAGGACATTTAATAATAAATAAATCTCTTTAACATTGTTATAGCTAGGCAGTCTTGTGAGATGTGAGAAAAATATCAAGCTTATTCATTTAGCAATCCGGTAACTTTGCTCCTGAATGGTAAACGTTTGAGGGGATGGCATTAAAAAATAAAAATATGGCATAAAAATAAGTTGTACTGATCACTAATTGGTGAACCCTCATGTATGACATTAGTCAGTGGAATTTCTTGCAAAAGATTTAGAAATGGCGGCTGTGCAAAATAGTATTTATTGCATTTCAGCTTGATTATACCATATGCGTATATTCATAACAGAAAAATTACGATTGTACGATTTCTTAAAAAAATTAATCATTAACCCTCCCTTTTAATGGCGGGCAATTCCCAAAGGGGCATTTAGCTATTTCGATGCATTTCACATCGAATTTCTTTTTGTTCCACTCACCAATTAAATTTGGGACGAACAGGAACACGTTTTCTGTCATTTTGCGAAGGTGTTTACCCAAAGAAATCGCTTAATTCGTGGAAGATATTTTATGTTTATCTTTGCAAGTCGATATGGAAATTTGAATGAAATCGACAAAGTCGATTTCGAACCTTCCAAATATGGTCACGCTTGCCTTTTTTGGAAGAGTGCGAATAATCAAAATGTAAGCCGCCGTCATGCCGAAGAGTTGTATAAAATATACAAGGTTTAAATTTTGTAACGTAATAAGCCTGATTTAAACTGATTTAAACGGTGTTTTAAATAAACATAATATCGGAATGACCGTATCTACTATGGCGTGTAATCTCTTTGGACGCGAGGGAGTAAAATGCTGCAATTTTACGGCCGAAATTCGCTTGGGTCAGAAATTATGCCGTTGCCAGATTTCGCGATAGCAAATTTACGGGTTTGCAAGCCAGGGGCTGCGAATTCAATTGCTTGAATATTTTCTATGGCCTCGAGGATTCCTTTGGCAAACGAGAACTCCCATGGGGGAGCAAAAAAGGCCCAAAATCAACAGGGCGGAGCGAGTAATTTGTGGGGAAACCAGGATGAAATGAGGCGATATGTTTCCAAGCTCAAATCTGAACTTGCTGAGCAAAAGAATCGGGTAAAGAGGGTGCATCGCGACAAATCCGAAGAAATCAAACGACTCCAAGAGAATTTAGATCACGAGAAGCAGAAAGCTATCGAGAATGTCTCCAAGAAACTAGAAAGCGATAAAGTATACGAGCTAAAGAAAATGAAAGAGTCGGTTGCAAAACAAAAGGAGCACGAGCTTCGTCAAGTATTGCGAGTCAAAGACGAAGAAATGCGAACGTTGAAGCAGGAATTGCAAGAAAGCAAGAACACTACAAGGATTTTAGAAGTTGAAAATAAACGAATACTAAGTGAGCAATCCCGTGGTGTTGACACAAATGATAACGAGAGACGTTGGAAGGGCGAAGTTAGTTCGCTACGAAACGATAAGAAACGCTTGGAGGAGAGTTTGAGGATTAAATCCGAAGCTGATTTCGAAAAGGCCGAGCTTATACGAAAGCTTAAGCAAGAACACGACTTAGAAATACGACGACTCACTAGGGAATCAAAGCGAGAATCCATGAAAGAGTTTAGGCAATTAAAAGCCGTTTCGAAAGAAGTCGAATTAAAAAATCATCAACTCGCTGCGAAGGAGGCAGAGATGAGACGTCTGGAAAGGGAGAGAAACAACTTGGGAAACGAGCTTAATTTACAACGTAGAGACAGCCTGAAGAAAAGCAATTCGTTCAATTTACAGGTAAACTTTAATTCTACACAAATATTACTTGCTAATAGAAAATTTCCGGCTGGTAATTTCGATAGCGTGAGTTTGTATTTAATATAAATGGCCGGTGATCATTACGGATTTTAAAAAGGTGTGATTATTTTAGTAGTTTATGTAATGTTTACCCTTTCAATAAATGATTATGAGGCTTTATTGTTCGTCTATCGTCTAAACACATTACATCAAAGCCAAATAAATAGATAGAAAGTTATTGTAAGTTCGTAAAATAGTAGACGGCGATTTTGGCAATGTTTATTTTGGTTAATCAGTTTTGCCAACATTCGTGTATGCAAGCACACAGTCAAGTGGTATCCACCGAACACGCTTCAAAAATGTGGTTTTTGCATGATTGAAAGCTCTACCGGGCACATTATTTATGATGGGATTAAAAAAATCCACGGCCACGAATGTAGATTTGTACGAAATGAAATACGTGTTGAGATACATTGTAGAAATTAATATGGTGTCATGGTGATGGCGTCGTAGTATTGCATTCATGCATGACGACTTCCGTTTGGCCATTCAAAATATGCATGTCATAAAATATGGGCAAACTTTGTCTCAGGTCATATATAAAGACTATAAAGTTTAAATCTTTCGACCTGCGCTGCTATTCTTAGAAATAATTTGCAACATTTTTTGCATGTTCCATTAGTTTTCTATGTAACAATTTAGAACATATAATAATCTAATATCATGTATTTCTGACAGCTTAAGGTTGAAATTGCTAGGAAATTATTGAAGTGATTATTTTTGTACAAACCAAATGAAATGAATGGCATATAGAATGAAACTCTACAGCAAATCCACCTTATGGATATATCAATTTTATGACACAAATTTTGTGCATCTTATTCAGTCAAAGGCAATTAGGTTTTCATATGTATGTATAATTGCCAATTAAGGTCATTACTGAGTGATGCATACTAACTTGATAACAGTGAAATTGGGTGTTCCTTAGCCTCCTCCGCAGGCAACTCTGTTGGTATTCAAATATTTTTATAGCATAGATGAGTAACAATATAAGTAGGCAAAGCTGTGTAATCCCAAACGGCAAACCTTTGAGAAACTGAGTTTATAATATTTTATATTTTTGCCGAGTGTAATTGAATATATGTTTTGGCCGAGTGTAACTGAATATAAGGGTCTGGAAATAGTTAGTTCTCAATCCCCTTATATTCAGTTACACTCGGCTAAAACATATATTCAATTACACTCGCGAAAATATAAAATATTATGAACTAAATTTCTCAAAGGTTTGCCGTTTGAGATTACACAGCTTTGTCTACTTATATTGTTACTCATCTATGCTATAAAAATATTTGAATACCAACAAAGTTGCCTGCGGAGGAGGCTAGGTGTTCCTTTATGTTAGACACTGCAATATTATCTTCCAATGTTGCAATTTTTATTTGTGTATGTGTATTATTGCTCTGACAATTTTGCAACCTTTTTTCCTTGCACTGATTAATTACTTGAAGATAAATAAGCTCTAATTTGAGCTTCAGTATATTTGATGAGTTACTTTTTTGCTGGCCAGTAAAACTTTGTTTATAAATCTCACTTAAAGGTAATTTTTGAATTGCATCTGTTGCAACTTTGGAGCAACTAACAAGTCTTAATTGTGATGCATGACACAAGAGGATGAAAACATGACCTTTATTCACCTGCTAACTAACAGTACCGGTAGATTAAGTATGTACTCCTCCATTGTTGGGAAAACTATTCTGCTTTTAGATAGATGAACATATTTAATCAGGGTTCATCTCAGCAAGACTGCTTTTAAGAACTGAAGTACATTGGGGTATTTTGGTGCATCTCTCTCAGTGTGACATTGATATTGGATATCTTAATAGAGGGACACACTTACTAAGTACCACTATGATGGGAAGTTTTTGAACACAAGCCAGCCCAGCAAGCATGCCTCTGTAGCCTGGGGTAGGAATCATTAATCAGTCCCACTCACCTTTCGTATACTGCTACTGCATCTTGATATATTCATAGCAGCTGGCAAATTTTGTTGTTTTCTGGCTACAGAATAGTGTTATGAGCAAGCAGATAAGAATTTTCAATGATTTGTTTTCACATACGTGTTTGGCTTTATTCAGTTGGTTAACCACATCATGCCCAAAGATTTCTATAAATACATTTTTGTCATTCACCCTTCCCTTGTGTTCAGTTGTACCCAACACAAGACATGATTGGGCAATGAAGGATTCATGGACACTAGTAGCAAGAGCATAGTAAAATGAGTGGACCTGTGATTAAAGTTTTCCTCCTATATATCATGTTCAGCCTTGTCCAATAATTGTTTAAAAGTCGAAATACCAATGATTTTGTTTGTAATGTTTTTTAGAAAGTGAAAGGATTGTCAGCATCCCAAAATTCTGAGTCAGATATTGACAGTGTCGCCGAGGAAAGGATAAAGAAATTAAAAATGAGGAATTCTGAGCTCGTTGCTATTGCGAGAAAGTTGGAAGAGAAAGCCAAACACCTGCAAGAAGAAAAGGATTTATTGGAGGTAATTATGATTGTCACAGCAACGCCAGATGATTTATTTGAATTTGGTCCGAGAGCCAGAGGTGCACAGACGTTTTGTTGATCTCAATCACGATCTAATTTTATCGGATCCAATTCACTCGTAGCCGTCGTAGGCTTACCACTTTGGTTTTTCGTAAAGGTAAAGACCACTTTAGGTATTTATCTTTGCGAAAAACCTAAGTGGTAAAGCCTTTAAAGAAACATTGAGGGCTTTTTTTAAGTTCATTTTTAAGAAATTCCTGATGACTGATATATTTTAAAACTCATAAACTCATTAAAACTCATAAGATTCATATGAAAACCGCAATCATATTACGAAAAATTCCTTATAAATTATCAGTTTTATCTATAAATTGATTCGCGTTCCAGTTTTCTGACTTATTTCCGTATCTCCCTTGTTGTCAAAATCCAGCAAAACCGAAAATTTCCGACCATTTGCTGAATTTATGAATGAGTGACATCTCAATGGGGACACTCCTCACCCCAGCCATGCATCGCTGTCAAGAGAACGCAACTTAATATAGGATTTGCCCATGCACTTACTGAATTGGACCGCGTTTTCGTCGTAAAAGCGAGTGTAAAATGCTAAATGATGCTATCTACGGACGCGGTCGTTCAACATGAAAACAGTCGCTAGTGTTTTAAGCTATGTGCTCACGAGCGTCATTTTCGAGCGTTTTTAAAATCGTTTTTATCTAGTTTATCGCTGTGACGATATGTTAAATTAGGTTCAACTTTTATTGTAAATTGACGGTGTTTGAAACCGTTTTGGCATGAAAACGAAATGAAAACGCTCGAAAACGTTACCGTGTGCACATATCGTCTTAGGAACCCAGTTTTAACTCATCGCTATTATCCCTACTCTGGTTTTAAATAATGAGAGTAGCGATAGTATAGCGATGAATTATGTACCTGGTCATGAACTTATTAACCATTTCTAATTTATTTTACATGCAAACGGCTTTGACTTTGTGTTCTAAAACGAGCCTATAATTTTTATCCCCCTTCTGAAACGGTGGAAATAGGCCTAATGGATGTGTTGCAGACTGTCTAAGTAATGAATTGCAATAACCACAAAATCTACGACGTGAACTTCTCGTTTTTATCCTGTGACTATTCTCAGACACAATAAAAACCCACACATCGTACGGTTAATTGTAGCATATTCGATTCCCACGAGTATAAACGTCAGATTTCAAATTCCTCTATCAACAAATGAACAAAAATATGGTATAAAGTAGGTAAACACTGTTTTTAATTCGCCAGAATTGCAATTGTGTCATTAATCGTATATTGTGTAAATAGCTTAAAATGGCCTATAGCCTAGCCAGATCTAGCAATGGTGTTCTAACAATTAAGAAACACAACTATGTTTTGGGTATTCGTATTTAATAAGTGCATGGACTAGAGACTTTACAATTGACTATCAGTGATAGAATTCCGAATTAGCAGACCAATGACTGGGTGTATTCAAGAGAATATTATTTGTATTGAAAATCATGTGTTTCCACTCACAGTTCTGCTTAAAATTCTTGCTAGAAATCAAGCGGAATGAATAACTCCGATGTGGGCAATCTCAAGAAGGCGTTTGCTCGACAGAGAGCCAAAGATCTTGCTGAACGAGCCAAGCTTTTGATGAATAAGGATAATGAAATAAACAATTTGAAGAAAGAAGTCGAGGAAACACGTCACAATGGCTTTAATGAGGTAGGCAGATTTACCAGCCTCGTACCCAGGCGCTTTAATAGTAAAATCAATGAGTAAAATATATAACATTGCATTCAGTTATTGGATAGAGTCAGTTAAAAAAAGCGAGCGCGCGGGGGTGTTCGGGGTGCTCGCCTTTTTTCAACTGACCTCTATTCAATAACTGAATGCAACGTTATATATTTTCTGAATGCAACGTAAAAATTATATTTTACTATTAAAGCGCCTGGGTACGAGGCTGTAGACTTATTATACCGAGCGTCTTTCCATGCTTGAAAAGCTATGTTTTGACAATGTAAGTTAATGAGTGGTCGGAACGAATTTCGAAAAGTAGCCTTTTGGAATTGAAACAACTCGTACATATATATGTATATATATGCGATGCAATGACCTATATTTATAATAATGCCAAACAACAGCATATAGATAAAAGTTAACCGCTACGCAGCCACCATTAAGACCTCACGGCGAGTTCACAGTGTGCGCCGGATGTAATGACCTATATTTATAATAATGCCAAACAACAGCATTTAGATAAAAGTTAATCGCTACGCAGCCACCATTAAGACCTCACGGCAAGCTCACAGCATGTTTTAACAACATGGTGCTTGTTGTTTTAAATATTTCTCACGGATTGACACATTGCGAGATTCATCCAAGATTGATGGAAACCGGGGCCCTTATGGAAACCTTAATTTCCACGCGCGTATCGAGGTAATTAAATTCCTATAATTTTATTGGCTACACTCATTTGCATCATTTCACACTATATATAAACCTATAAATTATATAGCTAACCATAACCAATTCACAATGTCATATATATAATCTACCTTACATGGGAATGAAGAATTTTACTCACAGCATGTCTTAACAATATGACGCACGTTTTTTAATAACTTATGGATGCACACTGAGTTTAATGACTCGGCAGATTTTTAAATATGTTGACCAGTACCACTTTTGGAAAATGACATCATTGCATCTGAAGTAATGATGTCCTCTATATGGTATGTGATCAAACATGATCATTCTGTCGAGTATCACACGTAGGCTAGCTCACACAGGCCATAACAAATAGTTCATTGATAAAATTAGTATAGAGACAAATGAATCAGTGGAAATAACATTTAACATGGAAGATACCGTGCGAACACATGACTACCCTCCCATGGGAGTTTTATTGGCATAACATCATTACCGTGGGGGGTAGGGTAGGTATTAATATTATTAAGCATTCTTTTAAAAAGTTCGTTTTGTCTTCTTACAATCCCATCCCTTTCCGAGGAAAGCCATGCACATGCAAATATTTTGTGGGAACCCTACCGCCCCTATACAATGGATATAGAAATGTGACTGAGGTTTAGCGATATATTTCGATACGTTTTTCGTTTCTTTGCATTTAACCAAAGCTAACACTCAGTGCTATCAGTTCTTGGTAACTCGAAATGGTTACCTCTTTCCAATGTGTTCTCTGCGTGCTTGGTATTGTTTTATTGGTAACAGCTGATACTCACGGAGTGCATTCATTTACGAATCACAGCGACACTTACAATATTACAAGTATTTCAAGTGAAACAAACAAGGAATGTCGTTTGATCGTCAACGAAAGAGATTTGTGGTTTCTACAGGAACTAGGTCGAAATAAGGTTATTCATATTGTAGAACTTGATCTTCAATTCACGTCTAAAGAGAACAATGCCACCATTAAGGAGTGGAGTTGGCTGTGGACAGACAATATCGGCCATAATATCTTGCCATTGCTCACAATAACAGTCTCTGGGAATCGTACTGACCTGGCTGGCTTGAGTTGGACTCTTGATGTTGGGAGAAAAAGAAGACGATTGCGTGTAAGCGTTAATCCTGCCGGATGTACGACATCTAAAAAATTACCAGAAGATTTTCTTGCTAGTACTCTTTTGAGGAAACTGTCTATGATCCAGGAGAAAGAAATTTGTTTTGACAAAAGTTCGAGGCAAACCACGCAAAAAAGATGCTGCAAGAGTTTTAACAATAATCCTCATTGTTATGTGAGGTCAGCTGAATCTGAATTCGTGGGCACAATTAAATTGATGTTATCGGTATTTTTATACAGCCAATTTTTATCTCTGCCTGTGTTATTATGTACTGCCACTATGTTACTGGTCAAAAAGGAAAATAAGAACGATGGTTATTACAGGTTAACGGAAAGTCCGATGTCATTACTATCCATTCTGCGTCTGTTATTTTGGGATGGTTTTGGAAGAGTGAGATCTTTTGTACGCAGGTGTTTGTTCTTGGGAATGATCTTCCTGTTGTCTTGGACACTGAAATTTTTCGATCATGATCACTCTAGTTTTCCTCTTGTGCTTTTTGCGCTTTCAGCGCTGTCCATTCCTGTGTTCATCATATATTACGATGCTGAGAATTTTTCCTTGGAAATTGACTTCTCAGAAGTATTGCATTTATTTCCTAATGTGAGTGCAGCATTTCACTATTTTAGTTATGACATAAATATCTATTTGTCGCGCAAGGCTAAATCGAAAGTCATTGGTTTAGCCACGTTGCCTTTTAACATAAAACTGTGGAAAAAATCGTTGATTACATTTTTTGAATCTGTCAAGTCCTCTAATACATCACGATATTTTCTACGGTGTAAAGTTGTTTTTCTTTTTTTGGTTTACATTCCAGTTGTTTTTATATTGCAAGTTGCTTTAATGATTGCATGCATGTATACTTTACTTGTTTCAGTTGCTCCTAGCACCTTCACCAGGAAAGGGGGACTTATAGCCTTCTACATGTATTTTTGTAATGCAATTTTTCTCATGTTTCCAATATTTGTTTGTATTTCCTACACGCCTCCCATTGTAATTGGGTTGCTCTCAGGCATAATTCTCAATATTGTCTACTTTTTTCCTTACATTGTTTACATATCAATTCTCACATTTTACTCCTGGATGTTTTGGTCATCTGTTGAACAACAATATGTCGTCTTGATGAGGCTGATTTATGATTGCAACATGGATTACAAAAATAACAATGACAACAATGACCCCAACAATGACCTTAAAAATGAGAACAACAATGACAACAACAACAACAACAACAACAACAACAACAACAATAACAACAACAACAACAACAACAACAAAAGTGACCACAACAATGTCCTCAACAACGCGAGCGGTTCATACTTGAACATTGTTGATAATGACTCCGGCAGTGGAGGAAGTGATGTGTTGGATGGAAGTAGTAAAGTTGTGTGCGTGGTATCAAAGGAACTCTATGATGATATTAGAGAACGCCTCTTACCATACCATGTGATTCTTTTTTACTTCGCGAGAAAAGTTTTCTTCACTTTTCTTTTCTCTTATTTTATTCTCACTCTTGTTCGAGTTCTTCAAGCCAGCGATGTTTCCCCAACAGTCCAGTTACTCACAACGTTCAGCGTGAGTGCTTTTCCTTACATTATGAATATTGTTGCGGCGAAAAAAGGAGAAGATCAGAAAGATGCGTGGAAAGAACAGTTGAAACAACAAGTGAAACCATTAGTGGACAAGCTGACGGCTTCAAAACCTGAATTACATCGGACTGAATTGAGTATACCCTCCCTCCTATCATGACAAACCTGAATGAATTGAACATTTAATGCAACGAGTGAAACCATCAACGGACAATTCCACGGCTGGCGAAAAAGAAACACACCAAATTCGTGAAGTAAATAATTTTAATCGATTAATATTTTTAGACGATTTAATCACAGAGAGTAGCGTTTAGTATAAACTGTTCTGAAACAATAAACATCCAACATATCTTATACTTTTACCAGGTGATCTCGCGCTGAGAGAACGGTTTAAATAGCGAAGACCCTGGCACGCAAATCCATATATTTTTAAATAGTAAAAATGTTACGTTTTACAGCGCTGCTTAAATGTACAAGGTTTTGAATTTTGCCTAGGAATTTTATAATCATCATGTAAACTTTATAGAAATTTTATAGAAACCTTATAACTATGATATCAGTAGTAATGCTGGAACATAATCAGGAAAGATAACTTCATTAGCTATTATAAGTTGTTGTCAATAAGTTTTGTGTGTCAAATAAAATGAATAAAAACAAACTAACTGCATCATGTTCCAGTAATTCGTCACACCCCAGGTTTCAATATTGAGCTCAGAGTTGACACTTCATTATTTTTAAATGTTGCTAGTTATCTTAATATATTCAACATTTGCTCTAATCTCGAGATAAAGCAACTGACAATATTTAGTTGAGACTGGGATATAAACTGAAAATGCTTTTGTAGTATAATATAGGAAATTAATAACCCACAGTGCAAAATCTGAGATTCCCCACATTGGTACATGCATGCTATGTTTTGAAACCTATGGCTCGGAAAATAGAGTTTGACCTTTAAAATCATGTTTTCCTATAAGTAAAAGAATACCTTCCATCCACGCGTGATTGATGGAAACCTAAATTTCCACGCGCGGATTGAGGTAACTAAATTCCTCATGCATCAGTAGATTGCGTGTTTCACTGCGTATATTGCATGCTGTCACATAAAATGTTTTGCGATACAGTATAAAAGAAGTCAAGTTATAAGCTTTTGAGTGTTAATTTAAATAAAATTAAATTGGCTTATTTGCATCAATTCGCAATATATAAACCTATATATAACCTAATCATTTCACAATAATTATATAAACCTATATATAACCTAATCATGCATTTCACAATAATTATATAAACTTATATATAACCTAATCATTTCACAATATATAAACCTAGCGAAAATTAGTGTAGAGACAAATGTTTGGAATCGGTGGAAATGACCTGTTGAACATGCAAAATACCGAGCAAACAAATACTTAAAATTGAAGAATGCTTTCAGAATATAGGGAATTACCCGCGCTGATAAAAAATGGGGATTTCCCTTCCAGCAGGGGTTTTCTTTGCACAAGACAATTACCATGGGGGAGGGTCGGCATTAATGTTGTGTATTATGTATTCTTTTCAA